ACGTGAAAAATGATAAGGTTATGACTTTGGTGGCATCGGCATCACTCAAGAGGTGAGTACAAGTCCAGACAGCAGAGTTCAATGGTATGGAATGTAACGACGTACCAGTGCTCGAAATTTCAATTGAAAATTGTGTAATTATACGATTACGTAGAAGGCAAAAAACGTGAGTCGGGATTTTTAAAAAGATATTTTATCGACGTCATCCGAGCATGGAATACCAGTTCAGACTGTACAGAGCTCAACGGCGTGAACTGCAGCGACGGATGAAAGCCCGGAATTTCAATTGCGAATTGTGCAATAATTTCCCTTTAACAATTGTAATAGGGTAGCGGAGTGGAAAATCGTCCCTTGATAGAAAAGCACGAATCCGCGTTGCTTTAACCGGTGCTCTTCGTTATTCTCGAGAGGTTTACAAGTCAAGAACTTGCACTTCGAGGAGTACCAAAGATGTGCTTTAACATCGCGTCGGCCTCTTTCAGGAACGTTATCGTCAGTTACTTTTCAGGGGAAAATTTAAAGAATAAACAGTCGTGCAGGAATCCCGACTTTCTCCGTGAGAACTCATTTCCACTCGTTATCTTCTCCATTAGCCAATTTGAAAGTTCGAGCTGAAAGTTCCACGCCAGGGTCTTCCGAAAAAGCATTCCCATAAATTGCAGATCCTGGCAAATTGACAGTGACGGTGCACCGAAGTGGAAAGTTCGGTTTATACGTTTAACTTTTGCGCATCTCCTGGAATTGGTTTTAACTTCCCTTGGCACGATCGCGACGATTCGCCGATAAACATTAACTACATGTACGTGTTCTAAAGAAAAAAAAGGTACCGGCTATTTTTCACATAAAACAAATTCCCGAAAATTCTGTTCGTACTGAAATACAAAACTGAAGGTGAATAGTGATGTACTGTGAAAAAGAGTTTCACTTTCCTTCGTACCCATAAGAAGTTTCACTTTAATCACAGCTTAAACGTCTACGCGTAACCCTGATACGTGTAATCGATTAGATCTCTGTCTCACCCTGTAACCCTTGAACCTCATGAATGTATCCCTTAACCCGAATAATTAATCGTACAAGCCGTGTTAACTTCTACCCTCGTTTCCTCTCCGTCGTGCCCCAGGAAGCGAACAAGCCTCTAGGACCCCTAAGAGGGGTTGAAGTAAGAGGGTACGTAGAGGCGAAAGGGTTGCTTAATCGGAACAATTCGATCCCTGCTCCGCAACGTGGTGCCGTCGTTCGACCCGGAAGACTACTTAAAAAAAAACCGCTTCCGGTAGGATAATCCCAGCGATCCACAATGTCAATCCAGCTACGTTTCAAGGAAAGCTTAAAAAAAGATCCCTCGAGGAGGAGATTCCGTAGTTTCCCGGTCCCCTCCGGGCGGCGGAACGCACCCCTTGACTCGGTCGCCGGGCCTCGTAATCCCATTTGAATGCGTAATGAAGGTCTACCTTAAACATAATCAATTCAGTCCCGGTGAATTACGCGGCGACGAACTCGGAACTTCCCCGGAGAGCCGCTCATTAAAGCTTTCGAAGCTTTCTCGGGGCGCATTCGCGGAGGATTGTTCTCGGCCCTCCCCTGGGAGCTGGGCTTCCTCTCCCGCGGGACGGCGGCCGCGTCCCGACGACGTCTCCGGGCATTATACGCGGAGCTTGCAGACGCGTGTACCGCGAGCGTGCACCAGGAAGTGTGCCAATTGTTGCAAGCTTCGGCGCTGTGCGGCTTTCAAAATGCCGCTCCCTTTCAGGGCGATACTCCGCCGGTAACAATTACCGTTTTACCCGCGGGCTGTGCGGCCGTCGCGACGCCGGGATGCTCGCCCAGGGATGAGGAGCCGACGCGATCCGATGCGGTGAGCTTGTAAACTGCACCCAGTGGTTCCCAATCGCAAGCTCACTGAATCACCTAGTGGGACAAGTACTCGACGAAAGTCGTCGAGGAAGGCGAAGAAGCTCGCGAGGGAAATCCAATATGGCTGCGACCTAAGCTCGACCGCTTTGGACAAGCGCTTTATTTCGAGTTCCATCCCTCTCATAGATCCGTCGACCTGGTTATTGAAATCCCCTGCGCATACACCAGGATGTAGCGATAGAGGGGAGGGGAAATTTCCCTGTTGGCCAGGGAAGCCCGAAATCCTGGGGATGTCGGGAAACGAACGTTTAGAACGTACCCCCCGTGTTGGAAAATGTTTTCCTCGTCCTCGGGATAACGGGCCGTCGTGTAAACGCATTATGAGCTGTACCGGAACACGCGAAGCGCCACGTTTTGCCTTGAGCTCGGTAACCAAGTAAGTCCGGGTACCGAGATCAGAGATACGTCGTTTGCAAAGGAACTCAATTAGGTACAGGGCAAACTCGGTGTATACTGCGGTGCCTCCGATTTCGGTTCCTATTCCAGTGCATCGTAAAGCACTGTCGGCCCTGGAGGGAGTAACTTACCCCTCGCGATAATGCACCTCTCCCTGTCTGACCTCGTTCGCGCGCTACTACTTGCACCGCGACTGCATCAACGCGCGCCCTGGCAGACCATTTTCCATTTGTCTCACCTTTCCCCTTCTTGCGGCATAGGGAATTTCGAGAAGGGCGAGGAGGCTTGACGAATCCGCGGAATCGTCGGCGCGCTTTCGGTCGCGACCGAATAAATTCCCCTCACACCGGATATCCCATTGGAGTCGAGAAATCCGAATTTCCACGATCTCTTTAAACCGCTCTGACTTTAGTATGAAAAAATTCCAGAAATTTGGTTTATGCCTCGAACTGGATTCCAGGTTCACATAGACGCGACTGGAATCTGTTTTAATCGGGACCAATTGCGGAAAACGCTCGGCCGCGGCCGGAATGGAAGAGGGACTCCGGGGCTATTTGGAAAAGGTGCCGGGTACTCTAGGGGGAATTTTAGAGCCCTTCTCCTCGCCGGTCGGGTTCTTGGGACAGTTTTCAATCCCAAAGTCGATTCCTCCGATTCGGTCCAATCAATGGAGGGGCGGCGAGGCGTTCTCCAAAATTGTCATTGGATGCAGCCCCGGCTGGAAATGCTTGCCATTATCCAATGGGAAGGCTCCGGCATTCAGTCCGCGCCTCAGAGCCCGTGTACATTTTCTCAGGCTTTCAACGGGAATCTGTGCCACGTGTCGTGCTAAAAGTGTTTCCATGAAAGCGACGTCAAAGCGCCGCGGCTCCTGACGTCAGCGGACAACTTTCCCTGGGCCGGGGGGAATTTTTTTTTAAACCTCGCTAAATTCATTTTGTAACACCGCCCGACGCTCGTAATTCGCGTTTCCGAATGCGCCGCGGACGCGGGGCGAACAAAAAACCCGCCGCCCGACGTAAGCCCAAATTCCGTCAGCCCGGAGTAACGGGGGGGCTCAATTAAAAATTTTTATCCCGGAACTCTGGCCCTGTAATTACCGCCGCGGAACTGTCGAAATAGGTCGAGGCAGGAATTATGCGGGGAATTAATTAATCGCGAAGCATTTCGCTTTTCTCCCCGCCGATGGAGCGGTCCGCCTGATGTGCGCCTCGCGCCCTCGGACCTTCCCGATAGGATCCCCTGATTGATCCGCGATCGATCCAACCCTCTCGAACTCCACCAATCGAGGCGCGAGCGCTCTCCTTCCGTTCTCGGATTCGCAGCCGGAAGCGCGGCTTGAAATTAACTCGATCAAAATTGGCCCGGCTCGTTTCGAAAAGCCTCTCCATCGCATCCCCGTAAATTTCGGCCCTGAAATTATCCCCGCGGTCTGGGCGAGGCCCATTGATTACGAGTGCTAATTGCCATTACACCTGCACCTCGCCGCTCTTCCTCTCTTTGCCCCAGTTTACTCTCTGTTTTCGGTGGTTCCACATAGCCGGATTTTCAGCCGCAAACTTTCGCACCAAATACGCGCTCGTACCGAGTTCCTTAGGGGGAAATTCTGCCCTTAGACTATTATGGGTATTTTTATTCCTTCAAATTCTATGGGATTATTAATGAAAGATGATCACTGGCTGGTATCGAATTTGGGTAAGAACCGACCGTGAGTCGACGTACGGGGGAGGTTAAACGGGCAGCTTCTGTTAGATGGAATCGTCGATCCAAAATCCAGGCAAATCCCAGGTGGCATTTCGGTTTCCGTCGAAACGGCACGAATCGGCATTCGAGGGCTTCCACGGGCTGTTTGCAACGTTCCTGCAAACTGCGTCCGATCGCTAGGTTAATTCGATACGATCCTATTAATTAAGCTGCCCGACCGATTACGACATTCGACGCCACTCGGCGTCAAAACGACCAAAATTCCGACATGAATGCCGCGCCACGGGGAAACGAGGGGAGCGAAAGAGAAAGAGGACAATTCCTGGAATTTCATTTGGACCATCGAGCCAAAACCTGCAGACTGGACAGCCCGATTTGAAAGAACCGACCGTTTTCAGGCGCCCCGATAAAGCCGGGCGAGCATCAATGAAAAATCGATCTCGTTCCGGCGCCGCCGCTTTGAAGCCGAATTTTCGGCTGCCGCTGCAAATTGGCCGCACTGGACGTTTTGGGCCTTTCCTCGGGATGCGAGGAAACATACTCGCGATCGCGGTAAAAAAAGCTCCGGTACTTTGATCCGGCTAAAGGAGGGGCAAAGGAATCCCGGGACCGCCGCGCGGAGATATGTAAATCAATGCGGAGGCGCGAAAAGCTCGAACGTCGAGGAGGGAAGCCCGAGCTTTTTCATCCCCCAACCTTCCCGCAGTTGGCGCAAGCTCGAAACGTTCGCGGCACTTTGAAGGCGGCTCTCCTCGAGCTGGGGAAAAAAGTCCACCGACCTCGGCTTTGATCGCGAGCGAGAGTTCCGCGACGCGGCGGCACCCTGGACGGGGGTGCGACGGGGTGGAGAGGGGTTAAATCGGTTTCGAAAGAAGGTGACATTTTCCCGCAATTCCGCGACTCGATTGACCGGGAGCTCGGAACCTTATCGCTTGATAGTCGGCAATTTTTCCGTATAATCGAGCACCTATCCTCCTTTCTTGCAGTGCCTCCCGAGCAGCCCGTCATCCTGGACAACTGGGGCGGCATCTTGAACGGCACCGCGGGTCCCTACAAGGAGGGCGAAAGCCTCAGCCTGAAGTGCAGAGTCACGGGAGGTAAGTTCCGATTTTTTAATTTAGGAAATTATCATCGTCACCGAGGAAATACCGGCCCTCCAACTTTGGGGAGATCGCGAAGGCAAGCGGCGAGTTTCCACTCGACTTGCGGAGAAAAGTGATCTTTGGTTGTTAACACTAAGTATCCTGTAATACCTTAAAGCGAGCCTCGACCAACTTCGAGGCGACGAGTTCTTCAAGATTTACATGGGAGACCTTGTTGGCCGCGAAAGACCTCATGAATATTCTCGGGAGGTGGAAGAAAATCGCAAATTTGTTGGGTGTTCTCACTTTGGGGATTTAATGCCCGGAATTCGCCTCCGTCGTTGGTTAAATCGGGGGCAAAATTACGGCTAGAGGGTCAATTAATCCGTACACCTAATTTAATTACAAGGAGAGCTCATGCGCATTCATTTCTTTCTTCGTTTCCCCGTTAAGATAAATTATGTGGAAATGTTTTTAGGGCTTCTAATTATTAGCAAACGCGGTATTTCTCACGAGCAATAAAACATTACTGGAGATCAAGACCCTTCCGCGGTCGCCTTCATATCCGGACATTTTATTTTCACCGAGCTGGGAGTTCGCGAATGCCCGGTAAAAACTGGAGCAAGGAAATCGGCGGTTTCGCCATTTTCCCGAAGTGCTCCCATGGATGCGGCCCTCCTGCTCCCTCCGAAATTGAAGAAAGTTACGACTCGGATGAGAAGCTGGGCGCCAGTGGTGATGCCAGTTATTAGATCAGACAACTTTTTATCGGAAGCCTCGGCCTAAGTAAAAAGTTCCGCGGTCGACCAGACATAGTGGTTCGATACGAGCGTCCTCGGGAAGGTTCCTCCGGTTTTCGAGATTTCGAGATTAGGGCCACATCCGGAGGGAAGGCCATCAAAAAGGGCCAGAGTAGTTTCGGCGTTTACTCCCGCAACTTAATCCAAATTTCTGTTTATAACTACCGGGAAACTCTCCTCATTTGCAAGCTCCTCCGGGTAGAATCCCGAATTCTTGCTGATGCACCGCCACGCGCGCCAGGGATAATCCGAAATTCGATTTTCCGACAAAGTCGTCGGCGAGGGATCGCTGCACGTTATGCCAGAAAATCCGGATCCTCGATTTGGTTTAAAAAATCAAATTAAACTTATTAAAAGACGACCCTCCCCCTGGTACCAAAGCACCCCGGCGAAGTTCACAGCTTTCGGTCGGGACTCGCTTTAACCCCAAACCGCTTTTCCTCGGGGACCCTCCGTCCCGCGATTCCGACCCTAAAGTCATTAACAAGGCTCAGTTTAGAGAGGACTCCAAAATTCAAGTCGTCCTAGGCTCCAGCGAGAGGTCCGAAGCTCACAAAGTCGGCGGGGACTGCACAATCCGCAAGCCCGACCGTTCGTTTACGTTACTACTTAGGGTTTGGTCTGCTCCCGGCGTTGACTTTAACTACTCGGCTCCAACTCCTCGCAGGACCTCTCCCTGCCTAATGGCCTCCACTATCTGCGACACTAAAGTGCAGATTTTAATCCGCGGATAGCGGCGATATCTTCCGGGATTGAGAAGGGCTCCTTCCTACCACCAGTCGAACTTAGCTCCGACTTGTCCTTCCTCCTAAGGCTAATTCTTACCCCAGGATAACCAGCGTCCTTTCCGGGGTCTTTTGATCGGACGCAGGACTATTAGATTTCCGTCAACCGTCCGTTCCTTCTATTCGTCTAATCCTCTCGTAATCCCATTCTTCTTCAGGTCAGCGACTTTATCGCGGACTAGTCGCCCTTCTACCCAATTTCCCTTGTACTCTTCGCGTTGTCCCTTCGTAATCGATCGGCGTTGTTGGTCCCAACAAATGCAATTACATCCGTTGATGAAGAGTACAATTATGTGTTGGCATACTTCGAGAGGAGGAAGGGAAAAATATCCTTGCAGGTATTCCTTTTCCTGCAATACTTGTCAAAGTGGTGACTCCGAAGGTAAGATCATCTCATTAAGTTCGAATCCGAGGGATCTCCGTCGTATTGGATTTCTCGTTTAAAATTTCCGTCTCGCGTAAGAAGCGGAAAAGCTGACATTAAGGTCCCGCCGGTTAAAATGCAATCTGGGCCGGGAAGCATCGTGAATAACAACGAATGGAAGTCTTCCTAAACCAAGGGAACCTGCCGCACTCGCTTCCGCCTCTCGAGGAGATCGCCGTGCAATTTTAAGTGTCGCAACCGTGTATCCGGGAAATTAAATTGCGATTCCGCCGCGGCTACCACGGTGAATAACAATGAAACGCAATGAAGAATCCGCCATGGAGAGGCGGACTTCCGTCCCGGGCACAAATCTTCCCGACCGCCTCCGGAAGACGTCTAACAAGCTTCGAGGCGAAATAAAGAAGCCGGCGAAAATAGAAACATCCACCGCCACTTAATTCCGCAGATCCTCGGCATCTGAAACCTTTGACAATTTGAAATAAACCGGGATTAAAACTGTCGATCCGAAAATTGAATCGCTAATATCTCATCGAAATGAGGTAACCATTTTTTCGTTCGGAAAATTATCCTCGCAAGCCTCGGTAAAATACCTATGTGATCATTCTTAAAATCATTACAAATATAAATATTACATTGTCTACCATTTTGTTTATTACCCTGTCATAACGCCGTAAGAAGGATAATACCCTTACAAATATAAGCAATTGCATGTTAAGCGTACTTTAAAAATATTCATCGCGGGTAGGCCGCCACGTGGCATTGAATGTGTCAAATGGTCAAATTGATAGCAGGAGAACTCAGATCCCCTGGGATATCATTTTTCCATTTCTCTGTGCCGTTTAGAGAAGACGCTTATCAGACTGTCTGGGTTATCCAGCACGGAAAGGTTTAAAGGAAATCCCAGCGTTTCCAGGCCGTGAAGACTCGAGCTCGTTAGAGTCCGTTTGCAGGCGGGTCGCGCTTCCCGATTTTGGGCTAATTTCATAATACGAATTATTGAAGATCCCTGCGCACGTGTCCCGGTTTCCTCCCTCTCTCTGTTCGGCGGGATCGAAGAGAGCCGATGGCTCGGCCGCTTTGAATGCGCGGACAAAAATTCCCCGCAGGCTTCATTTATGAGCACGCCGTGCGCGGCACTCCCCGTTCAACTTTGTTTAACGATTTCTATCGCCTCCCATTTTTTTCCCCGGCCGATCCGAACCGGCGCGCCGTTCATTATTCAGAATCCGACGATGCGCCGCTGTGGCAAATTTGCCTTCCTGCGGATAATAGGAGCCTCGAAAAATACCGCGAGTCCGGGGCAAAAATGGACGAGGGAATTGACGGCGGAGCTTGCATTCGTTCCCTTTTGCCGGCGCAGTTTACTCGCTCTGCCCTTTGCTAACTACCGCCTCCGTAAAAGGAGAGAGAGAAAGAGATAGAAAAATAGCGAATCCTGCTGAAAGCCAAACTCGTTAGTTTTCCTTGCTCCTTTCGTTTATTTTCCCACTGACCATTCCGCCGGACCCCGAATATCCGCGGATTATCAGTCCATACGTTTTTTCTGCAATCTGGGTAAAAGTGGGAATACGATTATGCCAGGAGAAGCGATGACACCTGTAGTCTCCGTCGAGCCAATCGGATCAATTGTTACTGTACTTAAGTACCGATTTCAGTTATCAAGTGCCCTCTTCTAGGGGTATTTATTAATATTAACTACGGTAGTGGAAATTGCTCTGGACCTAATCAACGCTCAATCTTTAACTTCCTCCTTATGCACGGCATGGCATGCCATATAGGACATGGCAGGGTCCTTTGTATGCGTGCGTCCTTTGATCGAGTTCCTGCTGGAAAATACCTTCAACGGCCAATTAATGGCACGAAGGGTACATGTATGTCCACCTTTCAACCTGCCATTGAACGTTCGGGTCCAAAAGCTACTTCCTCGCCGAGGGGCTGAAAGTTTAATGCGACCCTGTACGCGTTACGTTTCCGACTTCGGTTAATCGATTAATTAATCGAGCCCATTCATCTCATGACTGTTTCTCATTATCGCTGTTATCACCCAGGCAGGCCTGATTACGCGTGATGGATACCTATCTAATGGAGTCGCGCTGGCGTCCTCCGGGGCGACTTTTAGAAAGATTTACCAGGAAATTAATATCGGCGTAAAATATGATTGTTTTATATGTTTTCACAGGAAATCCGGAGCCCATTGTGAGATGGCTGATCAACGGCAGGATCATGGACCAGGATTCCGAGCACAACATGGGAGATGTCATCGAAAACAGGTGAGGCGACCGAAACGAAGCTTTCCCGGGATTTACCATCGTTCTCGCAAGCTCCGGAGCTTTCAATTTGGCTTAGCCGCCCTGCAGATTGAAAATTCGAAAACCGTTCGCCTTTTTCATGGGTACTCTCTTTGTAGATTGACTCTGCAGTCGATCAGTCGAGCAGACTTCGGATCCAACGTCACTTGCCAGGCCCTGAACACGAATCTAGTGGCCCCTAAGGAGACATCCTTATTCCTGGACCTTAACTGTAAGTGACAGTCAATCTCGACTAATGATTTTCTACCTTTTGCCATTTTTTCGCGAGATTTCTCGGAATTATATGTAATAATGACGAGGATGGAGAGTTAGGATTGCATATTGAAGCGTGGAGGCAGCTGGGGGAGGAAATTCCAGTGTAGACTTATGATGCCATCTCGAGGGTTGCAACGGAAGGGTAATATCGAGCCCTTATCAAGACCTTAACAAATCAGGGCTGACGAGCCTATCGCCCGTCATTAGCGATAAAATCGCTGAAACACCACAGCCAGCAAAGTATACCGACCTCCCCGTGAACGTGGAAACCGCCCTTAAAGAAAGATAAGGGGAAGAAACACGTTAGACCCGTCTCCTTCTCTCTATCCCCGGCATCTACATCGAATTAACCCGACCCCGAAATTAATACGACTCCCCGATCTACCCAGCCGAGTTAAGCTACTTTTCTAGAAGGGAGGAGGTCAAAATCTCTCCCCATCGAGAACGTCCGACTCGACCTCACGGAGATCTTTCGTGACCAGGGAAAAGGCATAATTAAAAGCGATAATATTAAAAAAGATGCGGAAATTAAAAGGACAGGGTGGAGGGAAAAAGAAAGGCCTCGCATGAGAATTAAAACCACCTCGATGTGCCCGCGCCACAGTTGGGGAGAAACTCCGACGCGTATACCGTGAAAGGTATTTTTGTATTTTTTATTCCACCGGGCTCCCGGGATGGAGAATCCCTTGCCGAAAAATCCTTCCATTACCCCCGCACCATATTGGCACTTTAGTGCGCACCGCCAATTTTTCCGCGTGGAGCGCATCGAAATTGAAGGGCGGCTGTTATTAGGGTTGCCGCGGCGGCCGCCAGGGGAGCCACCGCCAAGGCCGCGGGTGCGTGAAGCGGCAATGCCGCCAACATGGCCGCCGCCCGGACCTTTGATTACGGGATCATCTCGCGACTTTGGACCAGTGCACACAAGCTTCCCGGGGTTGCATCGGGAAAAAACTAGACGGGATCGAATCCCGAACTGGGAGGGAATGGGGAAATCATCGTTAATGGAAGCTCCGGCCCCGAAATCCCCCGGCGAATATTGATGGCGATGTCGGGCTGCCTTTTTTATTTTCACGCGTATAAGCTCTTTTCTTTCGACCGTCAGAAAGATTGTCCGAGAAAGAAAGTCCCCTCGCTGGATACATCTTATCCATAAATAAGGTTACTCGTGAATTGTTCCTTCTTTTCTTTTTTTTCTTCATTTTCTATGAAATATTTCAGTTATTCTTTGAACTCGGAATTAAAGTTCAGTCGGACGATTCCTTCGCCTCTAAACTTCTGACTACTCGAGCACACTTTCGACCTTAGACTTTACGGTTGTTCCGAGTAGAACTATGCAAAGTAAAAGTTTAGAAGTATATAGCGCGGGTCTTGGGGGCACCTAACCTTAAATACGCCCGAGCAGTATGTTCAGCTTTAAACTTTATCCGCGCGGGCCAATGTATTGATGAGATTACGGGATTAAACGGGTGTGATTTCTTTCTCTAAGCTTCCGCTAGATTTATGGCTCTCTAGTCTAATGAAGATACATCCTGAGAAACGTAACTTAACATTCTGAACGCGGTAGGACATTATTCACTTAGATTTACGGGAATACTCGGCTTTTCTGATCGAGATGTGTTCTATTCCTTTCCAGACTTCTAATTAGATTCCCGTGCAGAAGGAATTGATTGAATATAAAATTTATGGGATTTTTTCCTGCTATAGTGAGGCCCCTAACCGTCACCATGAAGACTCCTGAGGGTCAGGGTTTTGGCGGCAAGTCTCTATTGGCTGGCAAACATTACACCGTCGAATGCGAGACGACGGGTTCAAGACCTTCTGCTGTCATTACATGGTACAAAGGACACAGGGCGATGATGCATACAGAGGTAAGTACACCCGGGTGGACATCCTTAGACATATAATTAAAAACCGGTAAAATAAGTTAACAACCAGCGGAGGACTTAATTGAAGATTTACACCGCCACATTAAGAGACTTTCCTCAATCTGCCAGGAATGAAGGAACATAAATTCCCGATTACGTATAAAATGAGAGAAAAAATTATTCCTCCCCTTGAGGTCTTACCACATGGCGGGGAAAATTTATTACCCCTTCTGGATATTTTCCAAAGAGAATAAGGGATGAAGGATCCATTGACAGACATGTCGGTATGAAAGGCGGGGAGTTTCTCAATGCTCCCAGGAGTAAAGTCGAGGTAGGAAGTCGAAACTTTTTCCTGTTCCTCGAACTACATCCTTTGGATGGAGCTACCACGAAGGGCAATCCCGATTTCCGGAACCCTGGAGGGAATTTCTCTTATTACTCCATCACTGCCCAAATCCTGATGGCGTATTCGGCGCAACCCTGAGGAGTATTATAGGTGAGAGAGGCGAACCCTTTCTACCGTCGATATTCCGTAGGAAAGTTCGATAGGACACGGGGGAAACTCCCTAGGGACCCGTAACTACCGACGTCCCCGATTTTCCTCCAGGGAGGCTTTAGGAATGCTCGAGTGCCGCCCTTCGATTCCTGGGGGAGAGCTGTAGGGGATGATTGGAGACTAGCCGCCCCGTTCCGGTCGTTGCGTCAACGAGTGCTACGGGGGTGAGGAGAGTACCGCGGTTAAGTGCAAAACAAGGGGCGGAAATGAGGCCGATTGAATTATGATAATGGCACCAGTCGTCCGCAGGTATCTTTATCGACGATATGCTGATTACCAATTAAACGCCACGGCCGGAAGCCTCGGTAAATTTCCCTTATTCCCTGACTTTCCACCCTTTGCGTCGTAACGAGAACCCTCGACGCCTACGAAATTGGGGATGACATAAACGTAAGGAAACACGGAGGAGGAAGCCACATCGGCCTAACTGGGGGAGGGGGTGAAAAATAAATTTAGAGAAGCGGATGAAATACCTTTCGCTTTCTCAAGGGGAGGCACCGTCTCCCTGGGGAACGTCAACGAGGTGACAGCCCGGGGAAAATACCGGAATACGCGGAAAAACTTGGGGAGGGGGTGGAAATGAGAGCAATTGAATCGAAGTAATTCCACCTGTCGGCCGCAGATGTTTCATGGGCGGCACGCTAATTACCAATTAGACAACGCGGTTTAATATCCGATTTCTCGGATTGCCCCCATCCACCATTTTCCACCCCCGAGCCGCCCCTTTGAGAGCGCGCGTCGCGCCAATTTTACCGTCGACTTAAATGCACAAGGAGCCGACTTAAACAGAAGACGCGCGCCATCTTGAACCGAAAACGAGGGGAGGCGAAAAACCACCCCGGGGAAAGCTTTCGAAATTCCCGCCAAGTTTCCCCGCGATGCATAGAAATCCTGGGGTGCATCCTTACGTGCAAGGTTTCTCACATTTCGGGCAGAAGTCATTTCCAAGCCGTAATTCGTCGCAATTTGTTCGGCGAGGTCCTCGCACGTCTATGGACTAAGGGGAGGAACGAATCGACGGGTTTCCTGGGGGGTAAATGAAAAATTAACGGAAATCGGCTCCCGGGGTGGATTCGAGGTGGGGTACGGGATTCAATGAAATTATCGAGCTGCCGGGGAGCCGCGCACTGCTTGTTCAGGTTTCCTCGAATTTCAACGCATTATATGGTTTTCAATCAAATCCGACCGAGTCGAGCGTATGCACCGTATTGCACTCGATACCGGCCTCTCCGGATCGCCCGATATAATAAATGTTCTCCACGCTTTGTTTTACGCGACATTACACTTAATCGCCCCCTCGTTCGCTTAATTCGCCGGCTCGAGTTGTTTCGTCGCCATTCCGGTAAACGCACTCGACGTGATTAACGAGACGCGGCTGAATTACGGATTACGGCCGATTTTGAGTGTTTAATCGCGGCCAGGAATATGAATACACATTTTTACGAATAAACCGTGATTCTGGTCAACATTGACTAGCTGTATGTAGAGGTCGATTTACATGTAACGTGCCTCGCGACGGGATTTCTCCCGAAAATCGCAATTGCAACCCCGCGGGAATATTCGATATTCCCGGTAATGTATGTACCCTAACAGCACATTAGGATTACCGTTCTCTGGGACGTGGACCCCTCCTCTAGGGACATATTTGAACTAGTTCCAAACCAGGTTTCCTGTGACCTGTTCATGTCAGACGAAATCAATCGTCCGTGTTTCGTTGCTGAAAATAATCGTCCAATTCAATTAAAGATTCATTTCGATGCGTTAAGTATCATTTGCACATTTTTACAGGATTTTTTTTTTTGTGATTTCAACATTTTGTACAAGTATCCACGTGGTCAATGGTAATTACGTCCTTGTATTTATCATGTATTTAAAACTGAGATTTACTTGTCATCAAATTTACTGCATTGATCGAGATGTCAAGTGATATATACATGAGTAGAATGTATATTAATATGTAGTAAGAGGGCACCGTGGGACCACGTGGAGTTTGTTTCATACCTTTAAGTCGAAGTCGCGGTGATACATCGAAATAAATGAAATGATTTTTCACGGTAGTCAAAGTAGCTCGGAACATTTGATCGGTCTCGCTAGGTGCTCGCAGCTTCCACTAGTTACCCTGCAGTGGTATAACCCAACGCTGTTCAGACGTGAGTCGCGATAGTTAGGGGTTTCTCCGCCCTGAGGGGTGCGCATTATCGATAATCCAGAATCATAGCTGCAACTTCCGGGCGCAGTTATGCTCAAAGCATCCCGGCTTCCCATTCCTCTCTCGTGTCTGCCTTCTTTGAAAATCTCTCCTTTCCCCTGCGTCGTTTCCCGTCCACTTATCCGTAATTCCCTCTCTTGAAACAGCTCCTTAGATTCTTTCCTTTTTTTTTTCTCTCTATAAGTCCAAACGTGAATTTCGCTACATGGATGTTTTTTAAGAACTCGAATAGATAGGAAATACCTCCTCAATGGAGGAACTCCTTAATGAAGACGGAAGAGGAACCATATTACACTTCAGCCTCCAGGAATCACGCGCTCGCGTTATCGCCACTCGAGGTGAGAACGAGCTTTCCTCTTATCACGAAATAGTGGAGGGAAGGGTCCTCTTTAAAATTCCGTCGGAGTATCTCTTAAGTACGAGATAATAAAATATTAGCCGGAGACGCTCGCCCTCGGCACTTTCGCAGGTGGAGGAGGCCGAAGAAACCTCGGTCGGGCCGGAGGTGAGACTTCGGGGTTAAAGGCTGATAGGGCGAGGACAGATATTAACATAAGCAGATCCTGTAGCCGAAGGATCACGTAGAATATTTCTACCGCATTACCATCCTGATTATCCCATATCCATCCACCCAGGTTCGAGGGAACTACTTTTGCATCCCCAGCGCCGTTCTATTCTCGTCCCTATCTCATCTCCCTCGACGCTCCTCCGCCATTTTCCTTCTCCGTGTATAAGACGTCCTCTCTGTGCACCCGTAATATGCCTTTTCCTCGTAAATGACAAAGGTCGGATGATCGTACGTGGAAATTGTTACGGCCCCCGGGATGATTGATCAATGATAAGGAGCTTTCCGATTACGGAGGAAACCCGGAGGAAACGAGAATCGCGGCTTCTCTCGGAACTTAAGATAGAGACATAATTAAACCGAATTTACGATAATTTGAGTAAAGTCGCTCTTTGAACTGTTGGAGGAAATCCGTGCCTCGTTGATATATCTATAGTGGGGAGATCTCATCTTTACATCCCGGGGATTTTTCTTCATTGCTTTGTCTTCATCCCTTTAAGCACGACGGAGATTTATAAAAGCCGTCTCAGGACTCGAAGACGTAGACGTGCACCAGCTGTCGCGTAAACACCTTCGATCACTTAACGTGTCGGCTCCGGGCTGGAAGTGAAATTTGTTTTTCTCGCAATTTCCTCCGCTCTTGCAGCCCCCTATCTTCCGAATGTTTCCCAGGAGAAAGGGAGAAAGAGAAAGAAAAACCGCTAAAATAGAGGGCAACCGGGAAAAGGGAGGAAACTCCCGCCTACGCCACAGCTTGTACACTCGCCAGATCCTTACGTCGCTCGTTATTATAACCTAGCCTTATTTTCTCTTATCTCTAAGGGATGTATTCTATGGGCTATTTTCAGGACTCGGCCCTCTCTAAGGATCTTCAAGAAATGCAGCTTTCCTCACACCCCGCGTACCATTGTTTGCAGTTAACCGAGCAAACCTCAATAGCGCGCTCGGAAGTGTCATGACTTTGCTTAAGGAGAAAACGTTAAAAAATGATTGTAAATAAATTTTTTCTGTGATTAACCACGCACGTGGCGTCTCGTGATATATTTTTGTTCAGTAGAACGAAGTCGGGTCGCGATGCAGTTAAATTGACGTTTCATTTATTGGAAATGATTCATTTTGTCGAATTGTTTCGCACTTGTTCGGAAATGGGTTCCCAAGTTCCTAACAAGATATTCCAGGTGACAACCGGAACTTCCGGTTGAGTGAAACGACACACACAGCCTCGGTTATATTCCAGCCCCCAACCACACTATTTGAATACGCGATTTGCATTTACACAAGAGACAACAAAAACAATCTAATGGTGTTTATTCGCATCCAGCGTGTCGAGTATGCCATAGAAAGTTGAAAACAGTGCTCAGATGAACTAAAAGAGAAATGCATAAATTTATAAAAAATATTAACAGATAAAAGAGGAACGTTAATGTCAGTTCATCCCTTTTCGAAATCAATTACGGGCATTTAACTTTCATTTAAGTCGGCGTGGCGTGCTTTAAATGTGCAGTGAACTGGGAAAATGCAACTACGATGGAATATTGTTTGACGAAACTAAAATGAATAGTCAATTCTGAGCAACTTTAGATTGCCTTTACCTCGTTCCCCAGGCTGCTGCATTTAAATACAGTTTTCATTTACATGGCAGACGGGAACCGCCTTAAGGGAGATTATGCACATTTGGCGAGCCAGGTAAATGACAGAAAGCATAAACTGGATGCATTTCCACAAATTAAGGGAAAACGATTTACGGACACGTCGTGTAAATTCGAGTCGCACGCTGCAGTAGTTCTTTCATATTTTCTCTTTGACGAAGAGCGGGAATTGCAATCCTTAAAAGGATTAGAGAAACAATTTGGAAAAAAAGGAAGATACCTCCGAAAAGAATATATCGCGGTGTCTCGATAGGAAACGTTCACATCAGAGTCCAATTACGAAGTGAATGAATGTACTAAAAATTGTTTTATGGCTCCCATCCCTTAAGTCGGGAATTTTTATGTGTGGCAAGCACATTCGGAGGTGGATAAAATTTTTCCGGGGAATTTACGATTCCTCGCCCCTAGCAGAATATAGAAAAGAGATAAAAGGAACGAAACGAAGGTGGTCATCTAGACGCGATAACCTTATATTCCTCTAAAAGGGAATACGAGAAAAGTTCCCTGTTAAGAGGTCGGAAGAGGCTCTGCCTCTTGGAACGGTGATAGCAATGTCGTCCGGAGTTTAGATATCCGCCGTGCCAGAATCGAATATCGAAGAGAAGTACAGGAGAGATTAGTAATTGGTCATTTTTCCGTTCCAGGAGCAGAAGGCCGACAATCGAACCATAAGCAAAGCCAAGTTCTTGCCCACGGTGGAGGACGACGGTAAAAAGGTGATCTGCAGGGCGGAAAATCCCGTGTTCCCGGGGCTCCCTTTAGAGACGTCCTGGATAATAGACGTCGTATGTGAGTAACTTTTCCACGGAGGTATTTCACTCCTTTCCGGGGGTTTCTTTTTTTACGAGCGGCCGCCCTTTTTCCATTCCCTTTTCGAGGGACACACAGGACGGCGGACATAAACGGCTCGGATCGAGAGTGGGTCCTTCTGCTCGCCATAAAGTGGGACAATAAAAAATGTCAACCGGCCGCCGAAAAGGGAGGAAAGGACCGAGGCAAAGAGCAAATCCGGAGGGCTCTCCTCTCCGGATTGCATACCTCCCCCGGCGCTCTTTCTCCGAATTTTTTATGTATTTATGGAGGACGCGGCTCCGCTTAACTTCGCGTTGACGCACCCGAGCGGTCGGCCTTTTACGACGATTTTTTATTCATTTCCTCGCGCTGCTTTATTTATTGCCACGCATAGGGCGGCAAAACGCTTTCCCGGGGATATGCGGCATTTTGGAGGGACCGAGAAAACGACATCCGAACCCCTGGGAAAATACGGAGATTAATCCTGAAATCGCATATGTCTATCTCGCTCCGTGGAAGGACGGAGACTCAACCTAAATAGTCTTCCGGCCAGTTTTTTTTCCCCTTTCCCTCCCTTTTTTACATAGAACCTGCACACGCACTCAAGTGCACACGTCGGAAACTGGCGTAGGAACTCCCGCGAAAAAAAGAAGGAAGGAAGTGGAGAGCGGCAATTCATCCAGAAATCTCGTTCATTCTGGCCTCGTAAAGTTTACACTCCTGACTCCAGAGGATGTTACGACTGTACCTTTCTCTCGGCCGGCTTAGGACCAGAAAGAGTCCGTTTTCACGACGACGTTTAATCTCCGGAATCCAAAGCCCTTTACCGAGGGAAAAAAAATATCCCCAGGGGGGACACTGCGGATGCACCGATTTTCCCCCGTAACTCTCGCGGCATCGAAGTCTCCGGAAATGTCGAGGCGCCTGAACGAATGTGTTCTGTATTTTTTATCACAAAAATAACTAACCAGGGAAAAGAGAAGGACCTTCCTAACCCGAGGAGCACTTCGTGGACGCGAGAGTCTCGACTTCCAGGAAGCATCCTTCCCGTAGGGCACCCCTCTGGCAGCGAAAGGGTAAAAGTGCAGAATACGGGAAATGACGTCACGGCACGTATTCAATTACGTCGGGATCCGACGAGCGCAGATCCTCGAAATTACACCACCTTCAAAGTCGGGGTCCTCTCGGAGGCCGAAGGACCTCGGACGGACGAGGTACGAGGAGCGTCTAAGAGCCTGAGAAAGGGAAAGAATGGTCCTAGGGAGCCGAGAGGAGTGAGACAAAGACATAAATGGACGGCTCCGTGTCCAGGGAACGTGAACGAGGCGAGATATGAGGGGAGAGGCGGGACGAGGAGTAAAAGGGATCGGGATACTTGCATCATCGGCAAAGGACACGATGGTCCTGCGGGATGAGGCCGGCAGACGTGCCTTAAGCCGGTATCACCCTGATGAAATTCTACGAGGGGTGATACGAGCTCGGCGATAAACCGTATCTAAACCCTTCATCCCTCAGGTCCAACGAGGAAAAATAAAGGGATGAGACGAGTTGTCTTCCCCCCAGAGGACGACGGAAACCATGACGTAGGGCTGCCGGTTGTCCCAAGGAACGGAGATCTCTTTGGACTTTTGATCCGAGAGGGGCCGATACCAATTTTGGGAGGATATGCTCGTCGGGGATGCGATCACCGATCTGGATACCAAGCATTCGAACCCGCTTCGAGTCCCTAGTGAATGATTCAGCCGATCATGGGAAATAGATGTTCTCGGACGTTGCTGAAATTCCCGGGATTTGTCTGATTGGAAATATCGAGTTTCCGGTGGTTTCTATTAGGCTGGGGGTAACGGGGTAATGGCTCGAAATGGACGGACGAAGACACTAGGTACTTAGAAATGAAATAGGAACTTGGAATGGAAATTGGTGCCACTTAGGCTCGAGGTAGATGATTTTCTTTGATTCTTTGAAATAGGAAAGATCATACCATTCCCAGGGAATTTTCTTTAAGTATGTCGTGTTCTGACGTCGTTCCGAGCACAGGCTTTTGTCATAAATCGGGTACCTATGAAGAGGCTACATTTATTCATGCGGACTTGAGAGGCATGCTTTTTGCTTTTTTTATTTTCTTTACGCTTTAGCGTATCATTGACGCTCCGTTGATCGGCCTTCTTTTCTTTGCAGATGCTCCAATAGTGTCTTTGAAACTGGGATCAACTTTGAGTCCAGAAGACATCAAAGAGGGTGATGACGTTTACTTTGAGTGTCACATCCAATCTAATCCGCGTTGGACAAAGCTCGTCTGGATTCACAATGTAAGTTCTCTCTCCCGTATTGTCTGCCTTCATTAGAGGTTCACAAAATGGACGTTACTTCTATCTCAACCTTTTTCCAGCTAGCGGATTATTGAATTAATATACTCTGGCCGAAATTTTGTACCATAACATTTTTGGGCCCAACAGAAATTTATTACACGGTGCGTTCCTATATCCGACCGTTTTTCAGCAACAAAGTTTCAAAGGTGAAGAGAAGATTACGATACTTCTTAAGTAAAGTTGACCAAACACCGAAAAGAGAAGCAGAGCACTCTACCATCCCCGGTGATACAAACGCGTCCCCGCCGTCGATCTCTACTTCGTTTAAATTGACAAGGGTGCACGTAAATCCACCCTGCTCCAAAAAGTTCCATCCCCAATCTGCTTGGAACTCCGAAGTCTTCGAAGAGTTCTAGCAAAGACAAAGGAAACGATTCTCTAGTGGATCCTTTCTAAAGCCCTCCCCGCTCGAAAGCGCACTCTACATAAAGAGTCCAATCTCTCGAAAAAAAATGTTGAATAATAAAAAAAGCTCTTGCCGTCAAATTTCAAAGCTCAATCGATATCTTTGATTTCTACTACGGAAGACTTCTCTTCCGAGTTGGTAAATTTTCAAGAAATTTCGGCTCGGGGGTGGAATTTTTCACCGCGAGCTTGATGGTGCACGGTTGGCACCCCCCGGACGGTTTCGGATTTAATTTCTGTCACCGTACCCGAGGAAGTTGGGATGATCTCCTCTGATCAGAGCCGGAGCCGATTGAAGGACTCCCCTCTCTCGGGGGGATCATCCCCCGAGTACCTTCGTAATCTCAAGACGACCCCGTCTCGCCATTAGCCGTTTACTTCGGCGCTCTTCATCGTCCGGAAGCTCTCGGGTTCTCGGTATATTAACCTCCCCATGGCCCCCCATGACCCCCTTGGCCCCTGCGATCCCTCGGTCCCCCTCCTCGGGCACTTCAGTTTCTCTTTCCAAGACCCTGCATCTCCGGGTGTCTTCCGGGGGTGCACCTCCGCAGGGATGTTGCAGACTCGGCGGATAGGTAGCAGCTGCCGCCGCGTAAGAAATTTCCGACGAAATTGCATCTCAAAAATATGATCCGACTTCATTCCGCGGACCTCTCGCCGTCCGGACCTCTCGTGCGTCTTTACCCTCCACCCTGGAGATTTAGCCGGCGTTAGGAAACCACTTTATCCTCGGCAGGAGGGAGCCAACGCGCGTTCCGGCATCGCAGCATCCCCTCTGAGCATCCCCTTCGGAGCTGGCGATAGATTCCACCGCCGAGCTCTATTTCTCTCCTAGATTTAATTTTAAACGTCCGGCTCGGGCTATATCCTGCACGGGGACGCTTACCAGGGAATTCCTGACCTTCCATGCATCTTGGAATATTATCTCTCTCTATATCCCTCTTCGGCTCCATCGCGACCCCTTCCTCCCTCGAGGACGTATGTCCTTTTCGCCGTCCTAAGCAATTTCATTAATTAAACCCGTTCACAAAGAGCCACGATTTCTGGGCGGATTTTACTTTTCCCACCCTTCTCTTCGTCCTTATGCTAGGAACCTCTCTTTCGCCTCTTCTAATAACCGAGAACAATGACTAATAATAATTCGTCTTTGACCTAAAAGTTTGATTTTCACGCCGTGACGGCTCTGCGCCATTTTACTTATCCTTTTTCTTATTTAGAGGAACGGGGCGGCGGAAGAAATCGTCGAGCGGAAAATCTGGAAGGAGGTTTCCCGAGGAAATTTCTTAATAAACCTTCCACCGGGGAACCCACACTTGGGTTTTTTTGGGCAGGCCTGGAAATTACCCGGAGGCACCGAGAGTCCTGAAAGGAAACCGCGACTGCCGAGACGTTGCGGGTTGACGCATAGCAGCTGCATGTGCAACGGAGCGCCTCCTGCAGCGAAAATAAGAATGGACGCATCGCCCCGACCAGCGTAGACACGGCTCGAATTTCCCCAAGTTTCCCATTTCCCTCCGAGCCGAGGCCGGCCTTACCGAAATTTTCATAAAACGGCGAACTCGTCTGCGAGCGACGAGCCGTCGAACTTTCCCCCCGGGAGAGCTCGCCGAGGCTCCGCCGGGAAAGCACTCGAGCTTCCTCGGAGGCGTTAATTTCTTCTTTTCTGTTTTCCCTTTTTCAACGGGGAAAGGGAAACAGCCTTCCCCCGTTATCCCGAAAACCGCCGCCCGAGAGATTCGCCCTTTAATTTTCGGCCGAGAACCCCGCGCCGGCGGACCGCAAACTTTTAGAGTTTCCCCGCCGGCGGAAGGAGTTCCGCGCGATCTCCCGTTCGAATTTTCCGAAGCCTAGAGTGTCCTAATTTCTCACCACTTTTGATGTGCAATTTCGAAGTGACAGTCCTAGAAATATAAAAAAAGGAAAATATATTTATATACCTCCAACATATGAAAGTGTATTGTCTCAAAGCTCATTTAAGGCCTACTAGTGGAATTTATAAATATGATCCGAATTTCGAGTTAGAGAGGCGCATTCTATTCTAATCTCTCAAAAAACAACCAGTCGACGGGGTTATTCTCGTAAAGCGTTACCGGAAAGGCCCGCCCTACCGTAAACGCACTAAAAGTGGCTCCGTAAATCCTTCTTTATTTCCGGTGCGCCCAGATGACTGTATATCGCAAACACGTACTTTATCGCCGTGATAACTGTTCCGGATACGTTCGCGGCCGTTCCGCAGAGGCACGGCCGCGCCTGCCGCAAGATCACGCGGCAGCGCCAGGCCCGACGGGAAATTCCATCTAATAGCTGACATGTGGAGACCTAACTTCCCTCCCTGCATATATGACTTTTTTATTCGCCCCCACGCCCCGCTTTAATACCGGCCACTGTAAATTCACCGCCGCACGATCTGCCGGTGACGTTAAAAGACAACCCCAGGTCCTTTTATTTCTGCCGCGTTCGCGATGGGTCGTTTTGCCCCAGCGCCGCAATCGTTAAAAAAAAAAAAAAAACAACAAGCGAACTGGTCAGATCGAGGCCAACGAGAAACATGGAAAAAGCAAGGATTATGAATATTTTACAAAATATGGGATAACGAAAGGGAGGCGATGCGCCGTTCACCAGGACTGATGGGCAACGACGTCTTCGGGGTTGGACGTCGCCATGAGACCCAGGAAAAATTTTTGGAATTTAGAATTTGTCGGCGCACCCCTTGTCGATCATCCTGCAGGAAGTGGGATAATGTTTCACCGTCTTCCGGTTGGAATTATTTTCCAAAGAGGACCTCGTGGTGGGCATCGCGACGCTTCGTGGACAAATGCCGCGATAAATCGCGTAGGCTTCCTCTAGTGGCCGAGGCCCGTCGACGACACACCCAGGGGGTGGAAAAGAAGTCCCGGAGTGGCCAGGGGGTGAAGAGGTCGACGGGGGGAGTCGGCTTTAACGGCGCCTCGGTTTCAAGTTCTTCTTTTAAGTCTGAAGAGCGAGGTCGCCTTGGTCTTCGACGTCCTCGACGTTTTTGGTCGGCTACCCGTTGAGCTGGAGGCTGCCTCCGGGTCTCGAGATCCGCGGCGTTCCTGGGACCTCTTCAGGGTTGCGCCGGAGGGTGGCAGCGAGGAAACCCCCTGCAGAAAGGGCTGCTTTTCTTCGGAGAGGCCCTACAGAAGGCACGCGGCCTCTCCCGCGGAAACGAGACCTCCTCGTGCTTTCGTCGGCCAGAGCTTTTTTTTTTTTCATCGGAAGAGCTTTATCAGGGAGGGATCTATGACGGATCCTCTCGTCTCAAAATTGAGGAACTCCCCACGTCAAAATATTGGCCCTATTATGCATGAAAGGGTGATCCTCTCCGATTTTCGTATCATCAGTCGACGCTCCAGAATCGATGAATTTCAACCCCTTATCGCGCATCGCAGTCGATCGAAGTTTTAAATGCGATGAATTATTTCTTATCGAGATATGCACGGGAATATGATTTTTTTATTCGGTAATATCCAGTATCCAGACCGGTGATAACTACGATACCCGGAATTTGATAACGATATCTCCGGGGAAAGATCAGAGGATGTTCGAATCCGTAGTGGAACAGTTTTGATTAGATGATCGATGGACGTGGCCAGCGGATGATTGGATAGGAGAGGGAAAGACGAATAAGCGGGGATGTGTTCGATGGGAAACCTCGACAGGGATGGGATAATCGATCGATCGAATGCACGGAGCCACCTAATTTGTTGCTCGGGGTCTCGGACGGTCGATGCTTGAAATCCCTACCAACAAATGGAGCTTTTTGCTTTACGGAATCCGGAGCTTACAATTTGGCGGAGCTTTTCATACGCAGTTGTCTTAATAAAAAAAACAAGGACGGTTTCGCACATTTTTTTTTTTTTCGGCTAAATTAAGATGGTACAGTAATGAGAGCTTCCTGGCAATTCATCCAGAAAATGGCGTACCTCCTGAAAAGATTGTCTATACGCCGGAATTTTTGTAAAGCCCGGAAAGTCCGGAAGAGTGAGCACCTTCTTCTAACGAAACCCGCCGTTAATATCGAAAAACTCGGGTAAAGTACTCCTGGGAAAAAGAGTGCAGCGATAAATCGAGATAGCGCGCGCGTGGCTCGAATAATGTGCAATACTCCGGCGAAACACTTGTTCGAAAATGAGAAGAGGTCAAATGAGAGATATAGAAAAATGTCGCAGAGAACCGTAGGGATTCTGGTATCCTGCATTGGGTCGTCAAAATCACGAGGATAGCCCTTTGTCGAAGGACGATTAAAGCGGAAGGCTTTTGACCGAAGAGAAACTGCGGAAGGCGTAAATGAAATATCGATAACACATTTGTCTTTCATCGCCGTAAATCCCCACCTTGAAATTATTGAGCCGCGTGTTCAACCAAGGACGGAGAAATGAGCTTTTGCAGCACTTCGGGGAAATCGAACATTGGACCCGTCGTAAATCTAGAATCGAGCCATAGGCTTCGTCGTACGATTTCTTTGACAAGTCAATGGTTCCGACGCGATGGTTAACTCCTATTTCATGTAAGGCCTTGAAGTTGCATAGAAATTTCCCACCAAGGACGATTAATATCAAAACCCCTTTCCACCAAAATCCCTGATCCTGGACGAAGGATAATGAATACCTATATCGCCATTTTGAGCCAAGGCAACGTTCCAATTCGGATTTTTCTTCGTTTATAAGACCGTGAAAAAAATGTCCAGGAGAGTCAAACTATTCCTTCTAAATAAAAGCGTTAAAAAATTAAAGAAAAATGCGGGAGCCTCTCTTAGGGCGACATTTCCAGGTTCCAGGGACAAGTTTTACAAGACGGCTTACAAGGATCGTTCCAGGAGCCGTGTAAACGAGAGGCTCAATTTTACGAGGACACTTTCGTCGCTTTAAGGCGGCTCCGTGTGTACTCCAGAAAATGAAAAAAGGGAAATGGATCCTAAACAGGCAATAAAATTAATTATTCCAAGCGTGGCTCTATATTTAAGGGGCGTCCTTCGATGACGGCGAGCTGCTTCTCAAGGAAGGAGGTGAAATTCTCCCAAGGACCGCTCGCGAAAAAGCTGCGAAAAGGGGACTTGATTTTACGAGGGCACTCCGCACGTCTTAAAGCGATACCTTGTACACACCGGCTGTATAAAGCGGTAAAATGGAAAGGGAGCCGGTAATTCGATTATCCTAGATGAAGGAGAGAATTTTGTCCGAAGGATGGCGGACTCCTTTCGCGGGGTGAAATTCTCAATTCCTCCCGAGATGGTTCGACGAGGAGCTCTAAAAGAGAAATTTGATTTTATGAGGATACCTCCGACACCTTAAGGCCGTATCGTATGTACCTCGGGTACACAGAAAGTGAGAAAGTAGGGCCGAGTCGGGCAGAACAGAGAGAGAGAGACGGAGCATCGGTGTTTGCGCGTCTGCACGTACGGAAGAGGAAGTTCGCTCGATAAAACAACGGAAACTGCTTAAACTGCAGCACCAGGGCGCGTTACGAATTTTCTACCTGACGGAACATCGTTGCGTGCAGCAGGTGGAAGAGTAGATTGGATAAAGGACGGATAAAGAAGATAAATCGAAGGGACGAGACGCTGGATGGACAGAAGGGAGAAAGAGGGCGAGATGTTATCCATCGGAAATCAGCCCTACCCCGGGGTAAAAGCAAGGGGGTAAATAGAAAACTTTAGTAATCTACATATATTAATCCTCCCTTCGCAAGAATTACCCCCAAAAACTGCTCCTAATCTGAAAATGCCGATCTTCGCCCGAGCAATCAGCAACTTCTACTCGTCCAGCGTCGTGGAGTAGCCAGGAGGAGCGAGAAGAAGCTAATTCGAGGCGCCGTAAAAAAGCTAATTCCTTTTCCTTTTTCGTCCTTTTTCTGAGTAAAGGCGATGGATACGGTCATCGGGTTCCTTTTCATGGAGCCACGTCAGCATCTGGATCCGAAGCATGGCTTTTTCCTCCCCGCGACACGAGCTCAGGAATATAATGACACGAGTAATAAAAAAGGCGGGTGACGAATCGTAAAGAACCTTCCCTAGGGTTGTAAACCCAAAATGGTTTCCCAGGTTAAGAAAGTGCTCCCAGGGGGGCAAAAGTCCCCGGGGCGAAAGGGTCAAGCTGTAACGTCGATATTTATCCAGCCGGCGAAAGTCGGATTTGCGAGGACCGTAAAACTAAAAAGATTTTCCACGGGGGGTGAAAGAACCCTAGAGGGTCGAAGGTGAGCTCTGCGGGCTGCGCAGGGTGTAACCTGGCCTTTCCCAAGTCCTACCTCTTACCGCAAGGTAATCGAAGGTAAACCCGGGATTTAACCGGGGCTTAACCTATGCTAAGCGCGTTAACCCGCCTCACCCGACTCGGCCACACGGTACATAGATTACAATCTGGTTTAATTGAGTTAGACCGTTAATTGCCGGAAACATGGGATGGCACTGCCATCTCCTCTTATTTTTCCACCCCTTTTCGCCGATTTGAAAATCCCGTCTCTCCTCTACATAGCCTTCGACTTATTGTTCCAAAAAATCGAGCCTTCTCCTTCACCATTTCCGACCACCGATCCATCATCTTTTACTTTCGAAATGAGACGTGTACAATTATATCAATTGACTCTACCATTACACGTGCTCCTCTCCGAACGGATTTTCTCCACCTTTCCATGCAATAATTATATAGAAATCGAAGTGAAATTTCCTTGATTCGTGGATTATGATCCGCTGATCCAATACCCTCAAAAAAAGGTGTCTTACTCGAATCGATTCCGATTTGAGGGGGGTTTCACTTCACCTTAAATACACGAACGACGGAGATTCGAATCTCGAGAAGGAAGAGGAACTCTCGAAACGGTCGGCAATCGGTGAAATATTTACCCCCTTATCAATTTAGGAGCCCGGAATCGCGGGAGTACATAAACGCTGGGCTGAGGTCGAGCTAACCGAGGGGAAAATGTTCAATGGAGCGGTTTCCCTTTCTCGAGATTCCGAATGGTTCCATTTCATTTCTCGGATCGACCTCGAGCTGTCTTCGCGCATCAGCCGGTAGATTCCTTGGAAGTTAGGTTGGTGCCGAGAGTAGCGATGGGGTGGGTCTGCTCCTATAACGCCGAAGAGGGGAGCCAGATAAAGGGCCGACAAAGAGGGGGCGAGATACTGAAATCGGAGAAAGAGGGAAATTCCGCGAGGCGAAAATGCTGGGAAGGGGCTTAAAAAACGCCCGGAGAAATGTCTGTCGAAGACAAAGAATAGACGGACGTTTCTGTCTACCGTCTGATTAAACTACCCCTTGTCTGCGGCACGGTCAGCCCCTGCGGCTGATCGCCCTGCACTACTCGCGCCCTTGCCCAACCAAAATCCGGCTCCTCCACCCGGTCCGCCTAAAGACGTACTTTTCAATTTCCCTGCATAATCCGGTGCATTTAAAAGATACCCCATACGTATGTCCATTATAAAAATGCAGTGTTAAAAAAATTCATAAAATTCATGCATCGCCTCTGACACTATATACATGTTGCACTTTGTACAGCTGTCAAGCAGGCTCTTCCTGGTCTTTAAATTTCGTACAAAATCCTATTTTATAATTAAACTAAAGGAGCGTTCTCGCTCTATGTTGCAGGACGAAGTACTGACCCACAACACCGCGGCGAAGATCATCTGGTCGAACCAAAGCCTCGTCCTACAACGCGTGACCAGGACCAGCGCCGGTCTCTACGTTTGTACAGTGACGAACCCCCTTAACGAGACCAGGAGCAAACCGCTTCCTCTTCGTGTCAAATGTGAGTATCGCGTCCTGGGGAAAGTTAAACCCTGCCCCTTCGGCGGAAAAAATATTCCAATTTAAGGGACTCGAATGAAGCGGGAGGGAAATTCGGGCGGACGCGAGAGGCAAGGAAAGACAATCCGGGGAGGAAGGAGTACCAGGAGATCCTTTGAGAGGACAATCTCCTCGGCGGAGTCGCGTGCAAAACCTCGCGGATAACTCGCTCTTTGAATATTTTACGCGGACTTAGTCTCCCTTACATCTTTTATACTCAATTTCCAGTTATGGGGCCCAAGCGTAATCTCGATTCGCGGGGCGGGATGACAAATAAAAGGAGAGGGCGAGAGGGAGAGACAAAGCACTTCCACCTCGATATATTCAAGGAGTACAACTTCTTCCGAATCCTGCGTCTTTACGATCCGAATTCTCGGGGCTTGGGGAATACTCGGAAATTTTTTATTTCGCGCATTTCGCAGTCCTCCGTCGTGCTTCCCCTCAATTTTTGAAATACTACGCCCCCGCTCGCCCGACGGCTCGGCTCGTAAATTTGAAAATGGAACCCCCACATTCCGGGGAATTCATCTCGAAAGAGGTTCGCAGTCTCGGGAAGGTAACCCCGATATTGAGCTCCCCTTACGGTAATTATCGTGCACGCCAGGGAAATAATTTCCTTACGATTTTCCGATTTTAACACCTCGTCGAGATACCTTCTTGTAGATTTTAAAGCAGAGGCTCCGTTACTCTTGTCCTCAATTGAGGACAATTCCCTCCACCTTTTTATTTAGCAAGATGAAAAACGACCACGGATTCAATGGCATTGTCTATCTGCACGGTGAAGTCACGCGGGGCAAGGATGCTGATCGAAGATGGTGGACGCGACAAAATACGCAAACGTGTCCTGGAAAGGAAAGGCCCGGGGACTCTCTTCGGTTCTTTCCCTCGACACTTGGTCAGCTCTTACAGGAATGTTACCAATCCCGATTGGCTTCCACCCGAGGAGCTTTTATGTCCCCGTGTGAATACGATGCGAACGTTACTCCGGAATCGATCCGCCCGGTGGCCCGAGTGCAATCTTCGGGAAAAGGGAAAAAAAGAAAGGACGAAATATTTACTGCGCATCCGGACCGAGCCCCTTAGGACTAACAGGACGACCAGGAGTCGCGATCGTAAATTCACGGGAATTTCCGGTGCAGAAAGAGAACCGACCAAGCAGAAAGGGACGATCCCAGGGTAACAATAAAACCTCATTATGCAAAATTAACATTGAAACGTAAAGTTATCCCGACAGGGTTATGAAATAAATAATGTTGCGAGAAATCGTGATTACGTATTTCTCGAGTCTTTCTCAAAACTTAAGTCAAAGAAAGGCTTCTACGGGAAAAACGGAATTTCGAGGGCTCTACCTGCACGTACGAGGTTGACGTCGTTTGATGAAATTATTAATAAAGTTGAGGGAAGCTCTTCCCATAAGCTTCGAGGGGGGGTTGGATTTCGCTTAATTCGGTCCCAAAAGTCTCGGAGCTCGAAAGTTTCCCTACGGATCGAGTTCCCGGGGACTAACGAATGGCGTTACGTCGTAACCGCAAGAGGAAGGTTTCACCCCTTAGAGACAAAGAGGAAGTTCCTCGACGTCGTAACGTCCAATTAGAATTTCCGTAGCGGCAAATCGTCGGGGCGGTCGGACCGACATCGATATCATCGTCGAGACGGCGGGGCCGATATCGACGTCGACACCGTCGCCTCGATATTTACCGCGATTGGACGTCGAAGCAAGGACGAAAGAGGAGCCCCTCACCTCCTCCGTCTCCCTCGGTACACCCTGGAGACCCGGTAATGCAATCGCGAGTACCTCGAAGAATCTCGACCGGAGGATTCACCTGTTACACTCTGCCAATCGTCGTGGAATTGGCTGCTAAGCCAGTTGCAGAAGTTACCTCAACTACCGTAACTGACAGAAGCTCGGTTAAGTTACATCCCCTGGAGACCGCGAAACATCCGGCCCGGTTAATGGAATCCTTCGGGACGGCGAGGACGACTTATTCCCGGACTGCCCTAAGAAATTCCCCGTCAAGTCCTGGCCACTAATGGATAAATAAATGCGGCATCTCAGGAGGTCGCGGCAAAACGAGAAGCTCGTCGGGCAGGAATCCTGGAAGAAAAGGAACCAGGAAGTTCCTCTCCCATCTCGCGGAGGGACTCCTTTCAATGAGGCTCCGCCAAGTTGTCCGCCTCCCGGAGGACTGGGAGATAAGTTAATCGAGGAATGAGGGCATTTTCTTAAGGAATTGAATATCTAGTTGCTAACTAACGATCCTATCTCGTTGCAGTTGCTCCGGTCTGCAAGGACGATCGCATCGTGGTCGTGGGGGCGTCAAGAGGCGAGTCCTTGGACATCGAGTGCAGAGTCGAGGCCGATCCTCCGGCTTCTTCCTTTCGGTGGAAATTCAATAACAGCGGGGAAACTTCGGAAGTCGCACCTTCGAGGTTCTCGATTACGTCGGAAGGTATCAGTGTCCTGAAGTACACGCCGAGTACGGAATTGGACTATGGGACGTTGTCCTGCTGGGCGGACAATGCCGTGGGGACCCAGACGAGGCCGTGTATGTTCCAGCTCGTCGCAGCCAGTAAGAAATTTCAATAACTACTTCTTACTAAATACTAGCTCCCCAATCTGCCTTGAATTTCCCCTCTCAGATGCATCAAAATGATTAGAGAAATAAATGATTCCAGATTAGAAACCGAGTTTTTTTTAAAGGTCCGTTGTGACAAGCATCCCTCCAGATATGTATTTTATGATAATCGACTCGAGTTGAGGGGACGCGGAATTTTCCAGGCGAAAGGAAGAGAAGTAGCGTCAGGAGGAAGAGCGGACAGAGGAGCGGAGAAACTCCGAGGTTAGTCGAGGAAATCCGTCGGACCGGTTCCGTTCCTGTTCCGAGTGTTCCGAGTCGGTACTTCGGGTTCCCTCCTCCTCTTCCGTTCCGTTTCGCGGGCGAGTCAAACATTTGATCTGGCAGACTCCACGGCAGCGCCGAAATTACAACGAGAACTTTGCCGCCCCTCGTTTCAAAACCACCCCCTTTCGAAGTGTCTCACCCCCCGGGGAGCGTACCCCGAAGCGATGCTCGACGTCGTCGGGGAAATAAGACGCGGCTGTATTACACGCCCCCGGTCGATCGAAGCCGATGGGAAACTTCTAATTGGACCGGAGTTGCTCCCCATCTGGATCCGCGGTGAAGAATCAATCGAAAGAAGGGGATCCCGGATCGGCGAGAGAATTTCGTTACTCGGCGGGGCTGCCATTAGAGGAATCCGACACCTAAAGCAATTACGGTACCGCGAACAATTACCCATACAAAATACAGGATCGAATGGAGGAAACCGTAGAAACATAAGGTCCTGTAGGGATAAGGGGTTTCTTTGATATCGGGGAAAGCGCGGAATGGGCACTTTGGAAATGGGATGGCAAGATAAGCTTATCGTCGGGAAGCGATGAAACGCAAATGGGTAAAGACCCCTCCAAAGGTGCAAAAGCGAGTAGCCTCGAGGTTCTCCTCTCTCCGATTCCCGGAGAGACGGGGAGAACTTCCCCAAAATATTCCGGAATTATTGTAAAGGATTTTATCCTGGACCTCGCGAGGAGACGGATACGGATAAGCGGGCGAGCAGAATAAACAGGAATATCCGCGGCGGAACGGAAAGAGCAGCAACCGGGGGTTCGATAACCGTCTCGGAGTTTCTCAGGATCCTCCTCGGAATCGAGGATCTCCTTCGCGAAGGACTTTCCCGCAAGGCGATCCTTCGATTAATTGGATTAGCCGGATCCGCGGCGCAAACGCGCCGGTCGGATATGTAGATGGGCATAAATTTATTTATTTGCATAAAAGGACGGCCGCGCTCGGCCGTGTAAATAAGCGGCGGAATATAAACGCGAGGCGGCGGAAAAAGCCGGACAATTTCCCGGCGAGGAACTAACGTCGAGGGCACCTCGCTAATTCCGCGTTAATTCCGCAGCCGGTCGGAAACGCGTTTTTCCGGGCCCGACGTTGACTCGAAGCCACGGTTTTGCAGCTCACCCTCTTCCCGGTTCCTGGTTCCCTCTTCCCGACCTGTCCCCTCGTCCTCCTCTGCGTCCATTCTCCTCGTATATCGACCTCGACGAACGAATCAAAACAGAAAATCTCATCTCGCTTCCCGGACCCGGCTCTAGGGTTTCACAATTTCCCTCGTTTCCCTAGATTTTCCCTCCTCTCCCCGAACTCGCCCCAGCCATGGCCGGCCCGAACGGTCTGCTGAGATTATTTGGCAAAATTGTTCCCATCGCTAATACTCGACGTGACGTGTAACGTCGGGTCGCGCAAACTCGGGGGTGGCGGTGATGGAGTTACGCCGCGCGATTCCCGAAAATGGATACAATTTCCCCGGATGGTATATCCTCTTCCTCGAATCCGCGCATCCTGCAGCCGTCTCCCTCGCTTTCCATCCATTAACGAGTTAAATCGATTGAAAAGTGGTTTTCGAATTTTGTTTAAAAAAAAGAAGGAGAAAAGATATCGAGTAAACCTTTAGCCCCGCTTTGGATCCTCGTAAGCAAAGCTCTCTAATGATCCTCCTGTACTCTTAATCGGAATTTAAGGCCTACAATGATAGGCTTTTGGTACCGTGTAATCGAAATCGGGGTTCCTACGGGGATTTGGGGTCGTTACATTCTGGGATTACTTTTCCTCCAGGAACTCCATTCCCGGTGCGCAATTGCACCCTGGCCAATCAGACGTACACGAGCGTGGAGGTGAAGTGCGTGGCAGGGTACGATGGAGGGCTGCCCCAGAAGTTCGTCCTGGAGGTCTACCACGGGGATTTGGATTTCCTCCCGGACATCGAACCTCTTTACAACGTGACGTCACAGGACGAGCCCGTTTTCGCCCTTTCCGGGCTGGAGGCCTCCGTCGACGCCGGGGTGCACGTCGCCGTGTATGCCGTCAATGCCAAAGGCCGGAGCTCCAAAGTCATCCTCGGGGAAGTCACTTTCCGCGACGCGGAAAAGCGAACCGGTGAGAGCACCAGTCAATTTCCATCCCCGTCCGCCGCGGCGGAAAACCACCGCGGACGTGTGCGGGTTTCCGCACTCTCGATAAGGGACATTCTTTTCCCCTATCAATTTCCACGGTATGCACGGTGCATATTTTAACGAGAGTTCATTTATTAATTACGGACACTGATACCGCTCGCGTGGATGATACTTTAACGGCGTCGTCGAATTCCGCGCAGTACTCGCTGTTTATCGAGGGGTAATTAAATCCTCGCAATACCTGGCTTCCCTACTATTTCATAAGAGGATATCTCCCCGCTGGTCACTTGCCGCCGAAACGCAATATTTTCCGCAAAAATCCGCACGCGGAAGTGATCTATTTAAATCATTCCTGATATGACAAATTCAGAGGGGATTCTCATGTAACGTTATAAAAAAAAAACGATCATCCGACAATGTGTTAACACATTAGGGTCTGCGGTAAAACCTCAATTACGTTGGGATTAATATGAAATATACAGTTTGCATTTAATTATTTATCGTTATTATCCGATAGGGGCGGGTTCGATGACTACCGCGCGGTTAATTATTTATCAAGGGTCTCCCACTCGAAATCCATTTGTAGCGAGAAACGGAACGATCGCCGATGATAACTCGTTCAATGCTAACCTCGCGCGAAATAATTCCCCAGTAATTTGGGTAATTAAGGTAATTATCGTTACCCCGCGCTATTGAAAATCATCCCCCTTGTGTACACGTTACAGCGTGTGATCAGAAACGGGAGGACACGCCAGGGATGGGGATGATCAATTTGTCGATTAAATAAACTCGACGTCAAGTTGTTTCCGAACCTTCGAATCGTGTTTGTCAGTTCAGCTCTAACCTCCGTCAAATAAGTCGATTCGGGGAGAAAAATATAGTTGGCACTGAAATGACAGATGGCGCAGGGTGTCTCTGCAGCCAATTAGGGGATAAAAAATCACGAATCAATGGGACTTCTACGGCGATCAAATTTCTCCAGGTGTTTCATTTAACCTTAAACTTCATGAATGTTGACACTTGGAGATAAGACCTATTGGTTGAGGAAGCAAAGCACTTGCGAATCGGGTGCAGAGCTCGGCCACCCCCGAAGAAGCGAGGGGGTGGTCGACGCCGTGGGTGGTGTCAACGGGATAGGTGGTAAGCAAGACGGATCACCACCTCCCAAGACAATACCTCGAGACGAAGGTACCATGCTCATTACGCACCCGAACACCCCTTGCCATGTATCCCCAAGATAAGCCGCTTAGTAATGGCTGCTGATTACCGAAAACTATTCCCGGGCACGAACAAGTGGATTACCGGATATCGAAATCGGTGATAAGCGTCGCGATAAGCGAGACGATTTTCCGATCGCATCTACGCACGTGACGTCACCGTGCTCGATCATCGTTACGCGATCCATCCATCAGTCGTCGACCGATACCGGGACGACGAGGATGGCACCAGGACAGGATCAAGGACCCCTTTTTGCCTCGGCCATTAGCCTTAGTTCGCCCTTCGGGGGGCTCCGAGGATTCATTAATTACGAGTGTCGATTTTTCCGCAACCCCCGGTCCCGGTCTCCAAAAATGCGCCCTTTATCATGCGCGGCTTTTTTCATCCGGCTGGCTGTTATTATTATCAATATTATCAGGCCAGCCCGGGGCGAAATGTCGTGAAGCCTCGACTAGACCCACGGCCCTCGATTCCACCCCCGGGGCCCTCTCTGGGAACTACCCCCTCGAGGTATCGATATTTCCCCCGGTCGGTATTTCAGCGATCCCCGGCTCAACCTCCCCCGTAGAGGCTCGCGAAAAAAAAAATAAATATAAATATCCCCCGGTAGAACCAACCGTCGGAATAATACGCCGCTTTAGAGGGTATATTATAGCGGGCAGGGAAACGGGGTTGTACGTCAGAGTCGCAGATAACCGACGCTCTATTGTGCCCTTAACCATGGTTTACATCGATATGACAGCTGATCTGCCATGTCTTCCTCCATTGGTAGACACCCCCGGACGCCCTCCCCATGAAAAAAGGGACCCCAACTAAATCCCAAGTTTCTCACCCCTTCAATCTCCTAAGAATACGGAAATGCCATTAAGGGGGCTCGTACCTATCAAGGGGGTTGACACTACCCATATCAGTCCCAATAAGTAATTATTTATTATTTTGCGAGTTTAGGATCAGAAATGACTGATCGAATCGTAGAGTTCTAATGCCTCGGAGGGTTTCCTGGGGTCAACGATTTCCAGTAAGTCGGCCCACCCCAGGGTGGCCGAGCCCTGGAAAAGGGTGGAAATGCCCCGGAAGTCGGGAGTCCATTAATCGGCGGAAACCAGGCATATCGCTTCCGATTTCGGGCCGCCCCATATCGAGCGGCCGGGATCGATAATCCGAGATATCGAGCCGAGATAGAGGCCTCGTTTCCATCGGGCGATACCGATGAAACCACCCTCCACCCCCCCAGCCGGGCTCGATCGTGACCCCGAGGCAAACGTGACATGGCCTCGCCGTTTCTTCTCCCCAGGACTACGTGTCGCCGGGTCCGCTCTACTCGGAGATCGACGAACGAGAGCTCAGACTCTTTTCGGGCCGAGATGGCGGGGGCGGTTCAATCAGCAGTAGTGCTCCCTGTTGGACCGAAACGGAAAGATATCTCACGGCTCGATAAAGCATCGCCGATCGCTCCCGAACGAGACAGCCTCCCCGATTCGCACGACCTTGCTATCAGTCGCCATCTTTTAACTCGCCCTAACTTCCGACAAGCCTCTGAAAAGATGCCCGTGGATACGATCGAACACCCCTCGTCGATCGTAACCTCGGGATTTTGAAAATTGTCAAAATTCTTCCCTGATTCTTAGACCTTTTTAAGCGAAACTTATGGTACGCGTAGAGTTTTAATCTCGTTGGGCTTAACCGCCCACCTGACCAATAGCGGGTTATCAAGACCCCGAGGGGCGATGACGTCAGTTAACCCGAAATAATTAAGCGGCGGCCATACCGGGGTTCGCGGAGAGATAGATGCCATCAATTAACTAACTCTGGGGCAAGTCGTTAAAGGCATTTCCGCAAAGTCGGATCCGCGGGAGCAATAGGGATCCGGCCAATGGGAAGCCTCGTATCCTGGCGCGGCCTTAGAGGAGCGAATGATAGGTCGATTCCCTTATGCTCGGCGTCTTACGCTAATCCCCGCGAAATGGCCCGTGATACTTCCTGGGAAAACGACCCGGATTTAGGAGAATTGATTCCTCGGGGAGGCCGAGTCGAGAGATCATACTTCCTTCCCCCAAGGTGGCGGATAACGCCACGAGGTAAAAGGGAAAGTAAGGTCCACCGCGTTAGCAAGGATTCCCCCTCTTGGAGGAGAGTCGTAAAAGAGAGGTCCAGCTGAGCCGCGAGAAACAACCCTTTTGTATGAGGGATGTCGACGATACGTCCTCTTAACGCGCGTATCACCCCCCGTTGGGGTGGTCCACGGTGGACATTTCCCTTGATTCCCGGAATCTCCCCTCATTTTTCTTACCACCCCCTGGCGCGCGCCGGGGGGGTCGCTCGAGGGCTGAAACCGCCCGTTGCTTTTAACTCTTCAGGGTCAAAGGATGCCTCGAAGGGTGACGGAACGATAAATCGGAGATCCCGGGGGAGAGGGTTGGCGACGTTGAATTGCAAAAAAGCCACCCCGACCCCGGGAATCGGGAATAACTCCGGCCCTCCGAGACCCCCTCGTCGGGCCGTGTCGCGTGTCTGCGAAACGTCCCACCCCCCGCAGATTGTGGGACGGGGTGGGCGAAAGCTCGACTGACAGTGGTTGCATTTGAAATTCTGTCAAAACAGAACGCCCTTGCATTTTTATCACGAGTGCTTGCCAGGCGCACGGAGCCGCCGGGGTGGGAATCTCCGGACAGGGGTTGGGGGCGACTTCAACCCCCGAAACTGCACCGCCGCGCTCGGCTCGACAAACGATACGAGCATAATCTACATCTAGCCTCCTCTGTTTTCCTTTCCCCCCGTTTTCCCTTTTTCCCTCTTCCCTCCTCGAACCTCCCCCCAGTCGTTCGCCCTTAATCAGGAGCGACCGAGGGTTTCGCGGGTTACACCCTCCCCGAGGATGGAACGCCATCGACGCGGCCGCCCCGGGCAGGCGGCCAATCTTACGCGCACATCCGCGCGTGCGGAGCCCGCGGTGCGTAATTACGGAGTAATTGCACCCCCCGAGGAGCGGTTAAACCCACCCCCGAGGGAGGGGGCGGAAATTCCCGCGAGCGGCCGCGGTTATTTCCAGATTTGCACGCTTTTAAGCGCGCGAGGCGCGCTTTCCTTAGGGGGTCCTCTCGATTTCTTTCGCTTTTCTTTTCCACCCCTGGACGCGGCCGAGCATAATGAGGGAGTTTCCCGAACGCTCTTCGCCCTGCGGGGGTGCGGGGGCCGCCGACGATCGAAGCCCTCGGCACTCGGCCAATCCCCCTTCTCGCGCAAAAACTCCCTGCGCGCGGTATAATTCCGCGACGTAATTGCGCCGCCGCGCGCAAATTGAATCCGCTCTTTCGCGAAACATTCCGGCGAACTTGCGGATTAATTGCGGGAAATTCATCCGAAATGGCGGCCCGTCGATGTCGCCGGCATCCCCTGGACGGGGCTGCCGGGAATTTCTCCAGTTCTTTCCGCCCCCGCAGCAGCGACATTTTGCCGGCTATCGGGGAATTCTCGGCACTCGGCCAGTCTTGCATACACCCCGACGAGGAGGTCCCGCGGGGCCGAGGGAAGAGGTCGAAGAGGGAGCGCGATTGTCCTCGGACAAATTGGACCCGAAGTCTCGGAGACTTTCCGGCAACCTAACAAATTGCCCCCGAGTCCCGTCCGTTCCTTCTTGGCCTTTCCGAATTTCCCTCTCCTCGGGGGGCAGGTGCTCGGGACGTGGCGGGAAATTCAAATTCCCGGCCCGAATTCACGTCGAGTCCAACCAAGATAAAAGCTTGGCATTGATAGGCTCACGATCGAACTTTCAAAACAAAAATTTGTCCAGCTTTTTTCCCCGACCAGCCCCCGGCCAATAAGAGCACCCTGATAATTCGGGAATAACCATGCCCCGCGGAAATGCAAATTAGGGGAAGTGACGTCGTGTAGGGGGCGAAGATAACAAGGGGATGATAACGACCGAGCCCGGCCCGTAGGTGCCGGAGTTGAAGGGGTGTAATGGAGATAGAGGCCATCCCTTCTAAGCCTCCCTCGTCCCTTCGGTCCGACAATCGGCCAATTTCTGATAAGCGGTTATTATGGACAAGAATCTTAAGATCCGCGGTTAATCCCCACCCCGCGGGGGCGGGGGCGTCCGTCCCCGCGCCCCCGGCACCCCTGACCCAACACGTCGAGATTGCGGCGGTAATTGCTCCTCGATTCGATCCCCCCCCCCAGGCCAATCGATGACGAACTCGCGAAACTGTGTCCTCGGTCGGACCTCGTCCCAATGGATGCCACTCGGCCCGCAATTAAGCAATCCCCCGTGGAACCACCCCCGGCTTCACCCCCGCACCCTGGACCTTCATCGTTTGCTTCACTTCCCAGAAGTCCGGAGATAACTAGCGTGGTACTCGATACACCGACCGCCCTCTGAAATCGGAAAACATCCCCCGATTTCCGACAAAGCACCCCGTCGGCGGGCCGCCATCTTTGATGCCCCATGCCGGAATTAAATTTCGCTGAGTCGTTTTTTGCCCGACTACCGAGAGGGGTGGAAATGTTTGCCGAGCTCGCCACAAGGTCACCAGGGTAGTTCGCCCTGGAAGGGTAGTTTGGATAGGAATGGCCTGTAAAGGAATGGTTCGACCGACCGGAGGAGGGGAGTCCGGGCCGGGGTTCGGCGATTGATTAATTGAAAAGGGGTAGTTCTAACTTGGTTAGCCTAAGTCGGGTATGGCTCGGACTAGTTTGGAATTAGTCCAGGTGAGGAGAAGTTGCCCTTCTACGACGACGCCGAGCCGAGCTTGGGGTCACTTAGCGACCGCCAAAAGCGCACCCCTTGGGACCCGACTTCCCTCCACCCTGGAGGTATTCCCATCTAGACTTAATGGCTGACCTAAGGAGGACTACTTCGGAATATTCGGATAGCCGTTTGCGTCTTCGAATAGTCCATCGGAGGCTGGAAGCGATCCATCACCGTGAGAGGGTGGAATCTCTGGAAAAATCTCCTCGCGGTTCGACGAGTCCGGCCGAAAGCGTTTCAGTTTCCCTCTTGATTGAAATAATTATCTTGACTACCCTGATTTTTTTTTCTGGTTCCCTTGCTACCACTTTCAACGTAGTCGTTCGCAACTTTAATTGGAAAAATGTCCCGTCGCGTCGAAATGTCAAAAAATTTGATAATTGATAAATGAACGGCCTTCAAGGAGAGTGGCGGGGTGAAATTTTGGAAAGCCCCGTACTTGGCTTTTAGGGGCCGTTTCGAAACTTCGTAACAATGTTACATCGCGGTAAATCCGTGCCTGTCTGCGATCCATTTTACCGACAACGACCGGCCTGAAGATATTTGACGAGAAATTCTATTTCCTCCGGCGTCGCCCCACCCCTCGGAAGGGGTAGCAGAGGATGAGAAGCGAAGAAAGCCTGAATTAACTAAGATATTTATCTTGCGTTACAATCAAGGAAGACCCGAAACGCGTTTCCTGAATCTAAATCAAGGCCCTCCACCTCCTCTCCCCGAACCCTTTCCACCCCGAGCCGCCTGAGCCCGCGAACCACCCCTCGTCGACGAGGTAGAGTTTATTCGTTTATTTATTAAAATCCCTGTGTGTGCAGGGTGGAAATTCAATCGACGGGGTAGTCTCGGCCCTTTTAACTTGTAAATCGAGTCTCCACCTGTAAACCACCCCCGGCGTCCGCCCCCTTGCCGCCCACTCCACAAACCCTTCCAGAAGACGTCGATTCAGAACACTCAGTAATTAACCGGCTGGCCCAGAAAGCTTCCTCGGGGAAGAGACTCCGGAAGAGGACTGCAAGGCGCCTGCACCCTCTTTTAACGCCACGAGGGGTGCTCTCGATCGGTAGAACGAGAAGGATCCGATTTACCTTTACTACCCTATAGCAGACGTTTCTCCTCGTGGAACTCGATTAAAGTTCCATTCCAACTTTTACGGGGCAGTGCGTTCCAGGCTTCGCGATTCCGGACCAACCCCTAAGACCGATGACGTCTTATGTACTTTACGTGCACTTACGTGTACCTAGGGGTCCTAAGGCATCGACTGTCTCCGTCGACGGTGCCGGGGAAACTCCCACATTTCTTGGCCCACTTTGCCCCAAAATTTCCGGTCTCCCGACTTCGGTCGAGACAAGGGGGCGCAGGGGATGCATACGTACGTACCCCCTTGCACCCCTCTCGGGGGACATTCGTATTCCGTCGAGGCAGGCGCCTCGATAATTGAGGACCCACTAAACATTCCCAAACAAGTAATTTCATTACGATCGCAATGAGACGCAGCCCCGCTATAGGGATGCGGATCACGCTAGGCCGCTGCAAAGCCGGGGACTTTTGAAAACCCACCCCTTCCGTCGAAAGAGCAAAATGTCGGGAAGAAAAACCGAAATACGTTTAGCGAAACGTGACACGGGAGCCCGGTTTACCCTCGGCGATACATAATATCCCAAAGCCGGTTCCGCAGTTACACAGGGAACAAGTACGGGATGTCGCGCGAGGGTTGGCTGATTAAACCCGGGTTTTACGAGCATTACCCGCCCCTGCGGATCACCGCGCACCCCTAAGTACTTCTGTACGCACATTCCCCGAAGCATCTATACCCATGCATATATACAAGCATTGTTATACACCCTATGTGCACATACCCGTGCAGTGCACCGGGCCACATGACCAGGGGGCGGGAAAGGACGCGGGGGCGCGAGGGGGTGCACGGTCGTTGCGAGACAACAGTTTTGTTAATTATCCGACAAAAACAGCAGGCCAAGTCCCACGCTCGCGCACTATCATCCCTTACACTTGTTCATCTCTCTTCCACCCCCCCCATCCTGCCCCTTTACCCTGCGGCCGACCCAGAACCACCCCCAGATGCGGAACCACCCCCGGCCGGCCGCGAAAAATAAACCCCCCGGTAATCCCGCGGCTGAAGGATGCACCGCGTTTCTTTTCCGCTAGGTTAGGGGTGCGGAACCGAGGAGAAAATATGTATTTACATCCCCGGCACATGGGATGCGGGGGTGGGAAACAGCCGCGCTTTTTGTTGCCGGTCTGCCGCGGTTAATGCGGTGCGCCACCGGGACCGGCTAAAAAGGCCCCTTTTTTAGGGCTGATTATTACCGCCATAATGCTGGAGATGGACGGCTATGAAGAAAGGCGTCGAAAGGTTTCTTTGAATTTCGGTATATTTCGGGTTTACGCGTACTGCATTGTGTTTACGTCCTCCCGGCTTTCCGGCCCGGCTTAACATGGGAGCCAAGGAAGCGCGCCGCCGCTTTTTCGTCGACTTACTTTACTGCAATCTTTGCTGCGAGGCGCCCTTTTATCACTGATTAATGTTTCGTGTACCTAGACATTTCTCCAAGGGTACTCCATAAAATAGGGAGAATCACGGGAAAATATGAATTCGAAAGACTATTGTACATTTCAATCGACAGCATCGCGGTCCAAATCGTCCCCTCTCCGTCGATCGAAATTGTCGTCGGTGCCCTGATAACCCTATTCCTTATCATCGTACTTCGTGAACCGTGACGTTCCTCGACAATACTGTTTACGTTCGGGATTATCTAGTGGTTTTTACTTATAGGTCAGGATGCCGGAATCGTTCTTTCTCCTCTTATCGGAGTGGTGGTGGGCGCCTTGATAACGCTGATTCTTATCGTCCTGGTGGTAGTCGTCAGGGCACGCAGGGAACGGACCTCGAAGCCACGACACGAGAAGCCTGCCGAACTCAGCGAACTGCCGACTCAACAATATCCTTTGCAAAACACGCAACAAACCGTGGAAATTGATCCGGACGTTATTCCGAACAAATTCGGTGGGTAACGCGGGCGAGGCGCCTTTATCATTTCACCACTTCCAGCTGCTAGTTTGTAGATTATTAAACGTTCACTCCCATATAGTGGCAGTAAGTTTACACGGTATTACCGGCCATAAAACGAGCTCGTAACCCAGGAGTTCGGACCGCCAGTCTCATAAAGCACGAGAGGATTCATAGCGGCTAACCGCGCCTTCCTCCTGCGGATACGTATACCAGGCGATCCGACATTTTCGCTTTTCAGGGGAAGAAAGGAACTTCGGGGCGTAAGTCGTGACAGTGGGAGGTCGATTAATGAATCCAATAAATTAGCCGATTAAATGGAATTTCCGTTACGAGGTGTGGTGGGTTGCAAAGTGCGATTTAGTCGGTAGGCTTGAAAGGGAATGAAATTCCACATGAAATGTTTTTCCTTAGGGGGTGGTTTTATTTCACGTTTTAAGGAGGATACAATCCATGTAACGCTGATTAATTAAACCACAAACACCCTTGGCTGTTGAGCCGGGAATGTGGTGGGGCATTAATTATTGGCTTTCTTTTCCAGAGGGAAACATGGTGGAGGTCAGCCCCCCGAGCTACCCCGGGGGGTACCCTCCGGCGCACTGGGTCACCCCTGGACCTACCCCAAGTATAGACGAGTTGTGCCACAAGTTCACGGGCAGACCCACGGAACTGAGGCTACCCTCGAGGAGTACCATCCCCTCGCTGCCAAGTGTCACCGTGACAGGGGTAGTCGTTGGCGGCGGTCAGGCGGTCATAGTCGGAGGGGAGTGCTTGGACGGTGAAGCTATCAAACGGCGTCTGATGGCCAACAGGCTTCCGGAAAGTTGCGTCTAGAGGACCCTTCTCCCGAAGTTCCTGATATTCTTCCGGAAGTGACGCGCGCGAACCTCGCGCACTTCCGCGGTCCCTTCGACCCCCAGGAGTCGATCCCTCCCGAAAAGGAAGAAGAAAGATACGGGAAATTTCACGATATTCAAATCCCACTGCTGCGCAAAGCGAAGAGGTCCACCTGTTCACGCGAGATCTGGTCGAAATTCACCTGCGGCCATTTTCTGCCACTAATTGTTATAATATTTCGACAGTGTTTATTTTGAGGGAGCAGGGGAGAAAATCCATATCGAAAGGGGCTGATAGAGGAACCCTCGAATTTGTCAGAGGCTGGACATCCAAAGAGGTCGGGGCACGCTCGGAAGAATTGAAACCGCTGGGCTCTTTTTTTTTCCTTTTTTTTTAATTTTTAGGGACCTGTTGTAACTTTATGACGAGAAGTTTCTACCTCCGGGAGGTCTGCCTCTTGAAGCCGCACGGTACGCGTAGTTTCCATAGAGTGTTTAGGTAGTGCCGAGGATGATACTTGGGCAAGTTGTGTATCGCGTTCATGTTTCCGGAATCGTGTCGAGAACTTCCTGCCAGTTTCTCCTCTGTAAACATCGCCGCGAGGGTAAGGGATTTTACACATACCTCGGAAGTCATTGCGCGTGTAATCTCGAGGGGAGTTCAGGAATTGAGCAATTTTACGTGCCGTGGTCGAGACCCGATTCGATGTTTCCCTTCTTCCGAATTCCTGCCAGTCCCGTCGATGAGCCAATGAAAAAAAATGCAATCCGTTGTTCTCCATCTTGGCTGATTTTTTTTTAACAGCGGGAGACGCTATCTCTTCGCTTTAGGCAGCAGGTAACCACGTTTCTATGAAATTACGCAAAAGACGGTGAAATGTACTTCCAGGGAAAGTGACTAGAAAGAAAACTAACGAAATTCCAGATGCCGAGAGTGCGAGGTGGATCTCTATACTTTTTACTGCGTTGATAAGTACCAGACAATATTTATAAATATAGAAACGAAGGCCAATCGTATATCCGACCGTGGTTGAACGTATTTCAAAAACGGTCGAGCAATGAGAGATATATATGTGAGGTCCTAGATGGAAACTGTACATAAATGTCTCATCCGCTATCGAGTCTTGATAATAGGTGGACGAGCCGCAAAGGAAAAAATAAATGGGATTTCTGCCCGAAGGCCTGGGTAAAAATCGAGAAAATCATGAAAAAGTTAAATTCGATGCTAAGCGAAATTCAGATTTATCGAACCCGAGGGGAGTCGCGAAACATTTCTCTTAGGTCGAAACACTCCTTCGTCTCAGCTTTGTTTGAAAGAACGACCATTAAAATTAATCATATCGAAGTCTACTCGTGAGCCTGAAGGAAACGTTAGAGTTCTAAAGCCCGAAACCCAATATCTTGCAGAATCGAAAATGACGATATAAGAAAATAAGGTGAAAAATTCTAAGGAATAATTTCCCTATCTATATTTTCGAATCGAGCACTTTCCATTACGAGGGTCGATTTTTATACACGTTTTACAAGAGTGTCGTCGTCCCCTGTAATTGAATTCCTCCGGCTTGGAAATCTGCCCTCGAGTTGTTTCTAACGTCCGGCACTTACTCGTCTAGATCATAAGTGACTTCCGGTGTTCTCGTAGGACTGGAGGAATTTGGTTCGGGAGAAGGAACCTAATCACTATTCCTAAGAATGAGGAGGCACGATTAGACGGACTGTTTAATTGTGTAATATAAATAATTCGGTGACGAAGCCCGGGGACGTCTAATTAGCGCGCGATGACATCGCTTTTGGAAATTCGGGAGGTGCTGGATCGACTCGAAATCTCGGTGTAAAAAGAAATTCGTTGCCCGTTAGTTATGTCGTCGTGTCACTGTACATACATATCCGTATCGGACTTTCCTTCGAGCGTATCAGACCTTGTCGTAAGAAATCAATCGATAGAAATGAGTCGTGCGATGCGTACTGCGATTATTCTAAGAGAGGCTCGCGAAAATTCCGAAAATCAAGATCACTCGCTTCCTCCTCGAGGAGATGATTTTCTTTTTTTTTAATTTTTTTTTCCCCCCAATAAATGTTTCCAAAACGAAAAACTCCATCCTCGCGAGTTGAGGGGCTACGGGGCGACATGTTTGTACATATCTGGTGCAACGCACATTCCGTGTAAATTCAATTGACATCGTACCTTAAGCTCATTGTATAGGCGCCTTCATATCTCAACTCCATATCGTATTCCCAGACTCGTATGTATATAATATATAAAGTTTCGATCTAAATAAATCGTTTAACTGTCTTCCACCAAGTATTATGCGACCAAGAAAGAAAAATGAAAGAAAATGCAAAGTGCCTAAATGGACTCGATACCTATCCAGTTTTCAGATTTAGGACTCGGTACGGAGTTTCTTCTTCGGGTAAGTCTCTGAGGAAAATTATTTTATTAACAGTGTAATAATGCATTCTAACGATATACCTCGAGGTGTCTTATCAGCCCTATTCGTCTCTTGGGGGAGAGACTTGCGTCTCGTGTCGCTGATAAAAATTTCCTTACATTTTCCCCCAGTACGCGATGGAAATTAATAAGGACGATCCGTTCTCGGTACAAAGTGTACACGGTTCGTCGGGATTGTAATTGTCGTCGGTACCTCCCTTGGGATACGGACGCGTCAAGGGTGCTTCTCTCGAGGCGCGGGAAAGGGAGGGAAGGTTGCGGAAAAATTCAGCCCTTACTTAACGAGGCCTTTTGATGAGATTTTTCCAAGGCGGCGAGAGAGAGAGAGACAGGGAGAGAGGTTCTCGCGAGGTCGGTCAGAGGAAAAAAGAGGGAAATATCCGTAAGATCGCGCAACGAGGTTCATTGTGAAAAGTTTCCGAGCGCCTGCGTTCCCCGCCACCCCGAAGAGCGCGCTCTTTGTCGAAGTTCCTGCCTCGTTCCTTCCCCAGGTCCAGGGGAACTTGGAAAACAATCGGGAGGAGCTCTTCGGTATCTGGATTCCGGGGTGCAGGGTAGAGCCATCGGATACAGGAAATTGTATCGACGGAATTCTCGATGGAGCCCCGGGAGAGCCGGACCACCGGCTCCGGATGGATTCCGAAGGGCCCGGATTAATTGGTACTTGGACTCCGAAATAAATCTGGCCTCTTCCATCCCGCTCCGCCGATTTACGAGACTTTAATCTTCCCCGTGAATTTCCCGAGGAATCTCGGCCGTAAAGAGGTCGTCGGAGGGCAACGAATTCCGGAAACGCGAAAAGTCCATCGCCGACACGTCTCTATTAACCCGCCCTGCTCTCGCCTTCCGAGTAACTCGGAAATAATTCAAGGCATTCTTCCTTTACTTTGTCAGCGCGCAAATGAATTCGAGCTCGGCCCTGATGAAACGCCCCTGGCCGTTCCGTTAACGCGTAAAAAGCTTTTCGCCTTCCTAAGATCCACTACGGCACCCCGAGACGTCGATTAATAATCGCCGGAAACGCATTGTTGACTGCGCAAAGGACGCAATTCCCAAGATGGAGAAACGGACATAACGAACTTTCGAAGAAATAGGAATTTCTCCATTTCTGACAAGAACAAGTGCATGACGCTAAAGATGCTCCGCGTCCTGAGGATTGCCTTATGAAACGTAAGGACAAGTTGTTAAAAAAAAGAAAATGACGACCGCGTGGGTACTGGCTCGGTGGACGGACACTGAAACCTCACCGAGAGGCATCTTTAATTGAGGGGACGGAAGATGAAAGTTAATAGAAATTTTAATTGAAAGCCAAGTGAGAGGAGTAGTCGAGGATCCCTCTTGCCTCCGATTCAACTCGCCCTTTTTAACAAGATACTCAAGGAGGCATATTAAGTTGCCAGTTACCGAGAATTTCCTAACCTAAGTACCGCTGGCTTCTTTTAGCCAGTCCTTAACACAGACTCCAACTTCTTCGGGGCACAATATGAAAAAGCTCCGGGAACTCGGCGCTTGCCGCGAGTCTTCCTCCACCCCTGAGAGCAAATGAACCCTCAAAGGAGCTTCTGCTAATTAATCGGAAGCATCTCGTGAATCGAGATTAATTAGTTCTAAATACCCCCGGAAAGCTGCGCTCCACCTCGAGCTCGGTGTCATTTAAGCTCGAGCGCGAAAACCTCGGGTGAGGGTACCCTTGTGCTCGCGAGGGCATAATCTGAAATATAAATAATAACCTGCATAGCACGCCGAGGATCGAGGAGAAGAAGAAAACGCTTGTCCCACATTTTCCAGCGAGGGAGTATGATTTTCATTTTCCCTCTCAGGGATTTCCGCTCCGCTCAGCGAGGAGAGAAATACCCAGAAAATCATAAAATCCTGCACTGATAATCATTTTTAATTTGATATGCAAATTTTGGCTCATGACAAACTCCGTCAAAGGCGTGTTCAGGTCTGACGAACTTGCGAGTCAGGGGTGGGAGCCGAAATCGACCCATGAATTGAAGTCAAAGACAATTCGGAGGGCTCGGTGCATTCCCTCATTAGAGGTAAGTGCTTCCCCAGGTTCGCGGGGGTCGATCGGTAATATCGCGACAGATTCGAAAGCTCTGGCCCTATACTCCCTAGGGCAAGATCGAATTTTACGCGCCAATAAGCTCGGCTGGAAATACAAGTCGAGTGGCGAGGGTTACTCTTCAGGGTGCAGCCCTCCGCGAGAAAACCATTACAGGGTCGTTAGGAGTAATCCGAGGATTTATTGGGGATCGCAAGCTCGCCGGGCACGCGATTTCCCTCCGGCGCAGGAGCGACAAAAATCCGGAGCTTTTTTTTTGAACCCCCTTCGGACACGACCGAATAAATGCGCGATCGAGGCCAAAGCCAAAACCGATCGGTCTTCGTCTAATTTCTAATCCAATGGTAGTCCGGGAAACGAAGTATGACGCTACAACTGATCCGGGATTTGGGGGATGAAAAGATCAACCCCACTCGCGGTCAGGGGAGGGAAAAGTCGATTTCCCTCGAATGGTGAGGGAAAAATACAAAGGAATTCCTATCCACGCTAGCTTTTTCCACCTGTCCTATCGCGGACTTTAAACGATGCACTTCTGGCATAAAGTGTTCAATTTCTTTGATGAAAACGTCCCTCTTAGCCGGGTTTTCCCTCGGCAAAAAATGCAACATTCATGGGGAGGGAAATAAAAAAGGACGAGCGTGCCGACATGAAATTCTAGCTACACAATTCTTTGGTGGGCCATACCTAGGTAGAGTGTCGTAAAAATTGTTTAAGATGCACCTCCGTGGGCATCCCGGGAGAGTCCTTTGGCTACATGGAAAAAAGGATGTACGGAACCCTCCCGGAATTTTGAACAGCACCCTCCCCGACACGTCCCATCCAGCCCGACGCGTTCGTCCTTTTTAAACAATGCTCCTCGAAAAAAAAAATCCGGAATACCGAAAACAAACAGTCCACATTAAAAAATACGGTAGACACCTGCGACTCCTTGTAAACCCACCGTTTACGAGCTGCAGGAAACACTCCATCTCGACAGCTTCTTTAACGAGCAGTTTTGCAGAAGTTAACAAAGGGACGGGATTTAAAAGAGCAGAAGAGAAGTACATCTCAACCCGAGAGAATTATTTGTCGAGTCCGAACGAGGCGATCCTTTCGAACTCCCGCGAAAGAGCAAGGGAAAAAGTGGCGCGTCCTTTCAGGAGCGATCGTCCGACAACTGCGAACATTAATTAATATTCCGGACTGATTCGCTTCGTCGTGCAAGCTCGGTCAGTCAAACGTCCCCATTTAGCCCTATTTAGCCTCTTCAAAATGGCCGCGGTACCCCCAAAGACCCGAAGGAAGTAATTCAACGTCCCTAATTATTTCCTTCTCTCCATTGTCAAGTATAAAATTGTACCGCAACGAGGACATGTATTTCACGAGGAGAGACACGGTTGAAGGTTCCATTTTACACTGACAAATTAACATGGAACCTGATGCATGGCGGCATTAATAATAGTTGACTCGCGCCCCCACTCGCGGATAAAACCCGTGGGGCGATATTTCAAGGTGGTCCTGGGGTGTTGAAAGAAATAGACGAGGTGAGTATTTGTTCGCATTTTGCGAGAGACCCACGGAGAAGAGGAACAAGCTCCAGGATTCTTTCCTCCACTCCCAGGAGGAGGGAAATTAATGTCCGCCGTTGGAAGAATCAGATCCTGTGCGGAGCGACAAGCTGCGAGCTTTACGGGGCCGCTTGCGATTGGCTAACGATAAAGTTTATGGGTTAACTCCTTCTGAAGTAATTTTTCAACCTCGACCAGAGGATGGACGGATCTCTTCAAGGCTTTCCCTTGTACTCCATATTCTCCGTCATGTCGCAGGGGAAAAGTACGTCCGAGATTTTCTCATGAATCTTCATCGGCACTCCGACCATCAGACCAATGACGCCCATGACGACTCGGTTGTACCCTGTGAAGATTCCTCTCATGATGCCGTCCAGTTTCGGCATATCCTGTGGATAGGGATACGTCGATAGGCCCTCCTGACTGAATTTCACACCTCGGAGCACTTACTTCCTCGGTTTCGACGGGAGGCTTCTTAATGGACTGTAATTCCGATATCATCCCCCTGTATATGTCCTCCGTTTTCTCGCTGCTCCCCCATAACCCTATGGAATAGGTCCAATTAACGAGGCCGCCGGTAACGGAGCACTTCAGTCCGAAATTCAACCATCGACAGAGTTTCTGTAATTTGGTCTCCGGCGGCGGTTTCTGTGGGCAGTCGCAGAGCTGTAGGAGGAAAATCACATTCAGAAAATCATAACGTCATTGCGAGCGATCGATCATCCAATGGGACCTCCCTCCACCCTCTGCGGTTGTCGGTAACGCGTTAATCTTCCTCGAGGTATTTCGTGTAATGTCGTTTCTACCCGGTTTAAGTGTTATAGAATGCACTCCAGGTGGAGTGCGAGCTATGTGAGAACGTGGCCCTAATGTCTACGAGGGACTTGAAGGACTCTGATCCATTAGCTCGCCCTCCCATGCACTCGGGTCATACATGCTGCATCTGCTTGATGTCTGCCCGGCCAATTTGCAGCCAAATGTGAGGACCTCCATTGATTTGAATTCCCGACTGATTGAAACGATCGCGTTCGCTGACAGTGCTCGATCACGGAAGGTACTCAAAGGACCCAAAACGTGACAAAACTGTCTTTAAAGGGCACCCTATTAAAAGACCCCAAAATCGATGTTTCGTCTCGATCGATCAAAAGGTACTTCATAAAGAACGCGACGCGACCTGAACGTAATGTCTACCATCGGTTATCTATGATAAGTGTTTGCTGGCCAATATCAAATCCTCCTGGCTGAATATTAATTAGCCCCGACACTTCGGAGAAATATTTATCTTGAATTTGTGGTAGGACAATTTTACTATTATTTAATTAGCACTGACCTTCGGTGCGCAAGTTCCCTGGAGCTCTTTGCGAGTGCAGAGTTTTATCGTCACTGGTTTAGGAGGCTCGTAGGCTTTTCCTTCTTTTGGACGTGGACACGGTTCCTTGATTTCGGTACTAACCAACTTTTGAACCTGACCAGGCCTTATGCAAGTTTTCGGTTTTGACAGATTAATCGTCTGCGCTATAGTATTTACCCTCTTCATCGTCTCTGACTAGACTTGACGGATAAAAAGTGTAACTCTCTAATGTCATGTTGTGCATGGACCCTGGATTGAAACCGAAAATTTGAAAATTGAAAATTTAATAAGTCATTGCCACATATTTAGAAACGGTGCTCCCTGCAAATTTCACTCCTGACTGTCAAAAGTCTCGTTCGGTTTTTGTTTTTTTTTCCAACTTTCGTTTTTTTTTTTTTTTAAGAGAGCTCCATGGCTTTCGTTGCCGTCTCATTGTACGCACACTGATATGTGTATCATGGATTCGAACACGAGTAGTATAAGAATAAACACGCCATTTTGTAGGGTATTAGGTAATCCGGTTAGTATATAGGTCAGTGCTACCGGTATTTTTATACGTGATTTTACGTGCAGTAATATTCTTTTTTATGATCTTGAACCTTCTTTTCGCTACGCTCGTTCGCGAAAGCAGCTTTATATGAAGAACGTGAGATTACGCAATGAGGGAACTTGATGAACCTCAGCTTCCCCGGTCCCGGATTTCTTATTCATCAACGCCATTGGAAAAACTCGGAAAATTTGCATCCAGCACGTCCGTACATTTCTCATAGTGAAAACTCCTCGTCCGCCGCATCAGTTCCACCATACCCAAGTCGGGGATTCCTTCGGTCAAAGTGACGTATGCGAATACACGTCGAGCGTGAACAAGCCGAACCTTGACTAATGATTTGACATAACTTTTCCAGAAAAAATTCCCGTCAAATTTATGGAAACAAGAAACGTGCCTCCGAAAAAAAATCTTAAATTAGGAGGTACGCGGCTTGTCACGTTGTCAGAAAAATCACAATTGTGGTTTGAACTTTAAAACGGTTTCAAGCCGTCACTGGTAGCGAACGAAAATCCACCCCAAGGACATACATCACTTTTATCGCAAGGAACCACCGGGTCGATGTATATGCTTATTAATGGACACCCAACACCTCCGGAGGGATGGAGAGGTCGAGGTCCGTCCGATCTCTCAAATGCGAAAATTCTTAAATTATACCCGGAAAAAGGCCGAGGCCCGGAGTATTCCGAGACGTAGAGGTGGAAAAGACGCGCGCTAATCGGATATCCGGAAAGGATTCGTTCCTCTAGGAGGAGACGAAAATCTCGACACCGGGAACTCCACCGGTCGAGTCCGAGATCGATGCCGGCATTTTCATTCCCCATCGAGGAACGGATGGCCGAAGAGCTTTCATTTTTTCCAATCTCTTTGGGAGGGTCGAAGGACTCGAAAAACCCCGGGATAATGGCCGCGTCCCTTTCATGAGCAATAAACGGAGCCTTTCTCTACGGCGGGTGCGTCCAACCTTATGCGGAAAGCAGGACTCCCTAGAAATGACCGATTCTTCCTGGGGAAAAATCCCCGCAGCCGCGAGCGTCCCTCGCCCGGCGGGGATTTTTGGACCGGGTCCAGGAGGCCAACTATTCCAGGGATGGAAAGCATCCCCGGTGAGACTAAAAAGGCGGAAAGGGGGAAATAAACGGGGATACGGCGAAATATTTGTCAATCGTGTCGCGAGCCCATTCGTACCGAATCCGTGGAGGATGGACTCTCGCCCGGGCTCGAACGAATTGGATCGATCGCACATAATTACGCACCTAGGACAGAATAATTTCTAAACATTTTTCCGTAATCCTGGGTAGATGTCTCAATCGATAGATTCTTTTAGGATGTCCCGTGGATTTCATTTGAAGATGTCCAAAATATCTGTTGAAAATCTCAATGACCCATGTAGTTCTGATATTTTAGGAACAAGGGTCGAAATGGTGTATTTTAATTTATAGGGCATTTGTAGGGCTCCAATTTAAAGGAGTTTAGGGAATCCGAAATACGAGGCTGATTATTTCCCGTTCGGTCGGTCCGCGGGGTTTCCGGATATCCTGCAGACACCCCCGAAGGATATCCAAAGGCCGGCCTCTGGCGAATAATCGTCTTCCGGCGCCATTACTGGCTTTGCGCAGTGCTGCGAAAGAACATCAATAACCAATTTCGCAAAACCAATATCGTGAAAATTAGTTTCCGTTCGGCCATCTTCGCGGGTTTCTCGCTCCCTTTCTCGGGTCTCCTATCCAGGCCGGCATTTCCTCCCAGTACACTCCTTAACGTCCATTCCTATTCTCGCTTAACACCCCCTGGAAAACCAACTTCCTCCTTTTCCAGAACGGCCCCACATTCGGAGAAACGCCTTCAAAGGGGGTAAAGCGAAGGGAAAGAGGGAAGAGAGGTCGTCGTTTTTATAAGAGCTTCTAAATATGGCGCCTTTAGCGAACTGTATCAAAGGATCTGGTGCTTCCTTGGATCCTTGCAGGACCTAGAGATCGATCCAGGAACCCTGGAGATGTTCAAACAAAGTAGACTAACGCGGCATTAATCCGGAGCCATTCTCCTGGATTGTTCAAATTTGCAATTCCGATATTTCGAAGCCGGCGCTTTGGATAAGGCCCCGAGAAATCGAAATTTCCGAGCGGGGGATTTTCTCCGATACCACCCGGCGTTACGTCCTAACCCTTTATCGAGTCATGGACTCTGGATTTCCAAGGCAGCAGGCGTTATTTCCTTTGTTGAAATTTTACTGTCCACTCTTTACCTCGGATCTCTAATCTTACGAGTCGGAGTAACGCAAAGAACGTCGGCCTCCCTGCCGCCCTTTCCGTCGAATCATTAATTTCCCTTGCTCTTCCTCGAGGAAAGCTGACGAGGTTCTCAAATCTCTCCCCCGGGTGGAGGAAAGTGACGAGGATTGGGTCCTTCCAGAGAGTCGCTCTTAATTATCAAATAATTATTCTTTCGATTATAACTCGATTAGCGCAGCCGCCCGGAAAGAGCTCGCCAGTCGGCGAAGGAAATTAATGATTGCACAATTAATGATTCTCGGAGTGATAAGGGGGCGGATGGGAAATTCAACGCGTTACTTGACCGATTTGTCGATACACCGCTCGACGGTACACGAGGAAACGGGTAATCGCTCCGGAATCCCGATCAGGATCCAGATAATCATCGACGCGACGATTACAACCTACGAGTCGATTATAACGCACCGTAATCACGGCTCTCACGCAGCCCATTCCATATGCAACGATAAGGTCGAGGTGGAGGACCTTAACGATGATGCCTTTCCGCCCCACTTTGCGAGGCGTCATCAGGCCGATTGCGCATTCGCGATAATGACGCGATAATTCCCTTGAATATCCTTTTTTTCAAGTAAGACTACTCCTAGGGTAAGTTCGCGTGTCATGAAAGGGGCCTTCTTAGATTTCAAATAATTTCATGTTATTCCGTATATGTACATTTGTATATGAAACGTCAAAATATTCATTAAACTTTTCTCCTAACAGGGCGAACCGAATAATTTGAAACTTTCATGAGCATCGAACTGTGTTAATGGTAATTGACTTTTGACAAAAGGACGAATAGGAAATTAATTTTCCTATCGCCTTAATATTGCGATAATTTGCTTGAGTAATTTCCTCGAAGTCAGTGAGTACTTCTCTCGGTTAATTATTGACGTATAAAATTAAAGGCGAAGAGGAAGGTTTGAAGGCAGGGCGCGTATCAATTTTTCTTCTATTTCCTTGGATTTTTCCCAGCCCGATATCGGCGCATCCCCTGGGTTCGGTCATTACTCGATCGATCACCTCGGTCGGGGTAGCGCGAGGCAATTCCAATCGATATGACTTGTCGGGCTCCCGTAAATTAGGATTAGTCGACAATTTCGATCGGTCCGCGGGCCCCGGTAATCTAAGTTGAACTCCCGGCCTAAGTCCGAGTCGCGTCTGCGGCTGACTGGCCCGCCGAGTTATTAAGTCCTCGGCTTCCGAGCAGTCCGCAGGACCGATTAGAATTTCCTCCGAGCCACTCCCAGGGGGAGGAGAACTCCTGTTGGCCGTCCACATGTACTCTGCCAACTCCGGACCGGAGATCGATTGGGCGACACATTATTCATGCCGCGATTAGCCCCTTCGACGACGCCGCGATCGGTCGGTTAATCTTTTATCAGCCGACCCCGTAATAGCCTGCGAGCCTTTGAATTAAGCCGCGACGACTGCGACAATCTGGGATGGTTCGTTGATATCAGCCACCCCTTCCTACCCTTCTTGGTGGATCGCGGTGATAACGCTCGGGGGAAGAGTAAAACGCGAATGGCGTAGGTAAATCGTCGGAATAAAAATTCCGAGGGTGGGCACTATCGTGACCGAGTAGTGAGATAGGGAAATTGAGGAGGAGGGAGGTCCACTGTTAATCTTTCCTCTCGTGGGTCCAGCGTCCCATCCTCGTCCCTCTCTTTCCCCGGTATCTAAGAAACTCCATTCCGGCTCGTATCGTAAAGTCTGTCGACCTATCGAAATGGAGGCACAAATGGGGATGAAGAGACGAAGGATTTTTGTGGCTCTTTCCAAGAGTACCCCCCGCCGGCCCAGGGGCTGGGGTAAAGGGGTAATTCGAGTACTCTTTATTCGATCCGCCGCTTCGGCAGAGCTCCATCCCCTAACGCTATCCCGTAAGAAATTTTTGTTCCGGGGGGTGAGAAAGCGGACCCTCGTAAAAAGGATCTTCGGTCCAGTATCTGCTCGATTGGATCGAGGAGATGCGACGGGATAACAACCCTGGATAGCTCGATAGCCGAGGGGATGAAGACTCGGGGCGATCGAGGGATCCTATAGCGTACGGGGCGCACTTGCAAACACTTAACTATCTATGAATTTAAGGTGAAGTGAAAGACCTAGAAAAATTAGTTCGACGTCGGTATGAAGGATTATTCTAAATACCTACGTCACCGACGTTCGTATTTTCTCCCAAGAAGTTTCCGGAGGGGCGACTTTCCCCGGAATTCCAAACCAACGCGCACCTCGGACCGAGAACTACCCCTTTCCCTCCACATCACATCTCCCAACCCCTTTTTCTCTGTTTCTCCCCCTGGTGGGCGCCATCGATCTCTTTTACCGAGACGAGATAAACGATGTTTTGATATCGCTTAGCCGGAACAACCCCTCGCGACACGCATCCATCCCCGGAAGCCTCGCAGAAGGTACGAGCCAGAACGGGGTGGAAGATAAGGTCGTCTTCATTTTTTCCAC